GGATTCTCCATTTTCCTGGTGAGAAAGGGAATAGTGGAGGGCAGCCGCGATGGCGTCTGAGGTGGCCCTGTTGGGCCGGTAGGATTACTGCAGGGGGTCCAGGGTGTCCGGTATACTGCTCTGAATGTGGGCCAGCACCACTCTCTCAAAACACTTCATAATGATTGGGGTGAGTGCCACTGGCCTGTAGTCGTTCAGGCAGGTGACCGGGCTCTTCTTGGGAAGGGGGACGATGGTTGTGGTCATTATTCTGCTACTGTTTTGGTGTACAAAACCATACAGAGGATCCTACAGAAACACTTTGGAAATGGGAAAGCGACGGTCCACAACTCTGACAAATAACAGACAACAAAGGAATCACTGGCTACATTTCCATGTATATAACACTTGCATGAATATTGTATGTACAGTGAATCCAACCCTCTCTTTACAATAAACTGCATGTTCAGTAGGATTGATGTAACAGATTTAACTGTTTTTGCTTGATGTATTTCTCTGTTTTGGTGTAGTTCTGGTGGATTCTGTGGAGCGTTTTATGGACTTTATCCTTAGATAAATGATCTAACTCGCTCTACAAGGTGAGAGTGTCGGAAAGTGAAACATAAATGGAAGAAAGATAAATTGCAGGTATCATCAGATGATCTCAGGAACAAATGGCATAACTACCAGTCATTTGTTAAATCAGAGAAGGTTAAATATTTTTTAACATCATTAATCAAAACAGCAAAAAACCTTGTGTTCTACTGAGCATGATTCGAGCTGTGTTATATCCCAGCCAGCCTTGCTGTTCTGAGGATCCCAAAAAGGCCTGTGAAACTTTTTTTTGAATTTTTTTCTAAATAAGGTGGCGAACATTAGAACTTCTCTTTCTACTTGCGGACAAGGTGCCAATCTTGATATCTCTCTGAGCTTTTGACCCTTGAGCAATTGAGGAAGATGATAAATTGTGTAAAACTTGTGTCAGCACCTACTGATATTCTCTCACTGCAGTTTATTAAGGATATGTTTGATGTACTTGGACAAATTTTTGGAAGGGATGAATAGAAGTTTGAGTACTGTTGTTGTGCCTTCAATATTCAAACATGCAACAATACAACCTGTTTTGAAAAAACCTAATTTGGATGTGAATGTTCTTACAAATTTTAGACCCATTTCAATCTAGTCTTATATCCATAGCCATATCCTCCATATCCTAACACCCTCAAGGGTTTCATGGCACTAAAATCACTCTGCTTTAATATTAAATAAAGCTGAATAATATCAGCATAGCGATGAAATGAGAACCCATGTTTCACTGTAATATGACCAAATGGGCAAATAAAATACAGATCTTGCTTTTTGATTCAAGTTCATGCATCAAATCTGGATTTTCATGGACCATATATTAAATCGCATGCCAGAAACCTTGGTGTCATAATGGACGGGGAATTTAAATGAGACAATCAAATAAATTCAGTTGATCAGACAAGTTTTTTTTGTCCTTTTGTCAGTGGTTTGGGAACTTCTTGTTGTCACTGTAGAATTATGCTTTAGTACAGATTTAACTGACTCAATTTGTAAATTATCCTTCACATTCATGTTCAAGATAAACAGTTTGTCAAGACAGATGATCATCTCATTAGCACTGGGTTTATATGTATTTCAAACCATATCTCAGTTCTGCCACTGTATTAAAATTATTTCATCCATATTTGACTTTTGGTCCAGAGTAGTCATTGGAGGACAGTAGCAGAATAATGATAACTTTATCATCATTACAACTATTAGATTATCAGATTGGCCCCTTTAATACACTGATTATACTTACTCTTATGAATGTAATTTGATCAATATGACATGCGAAGATGCTGGACTTTAAACATTAAAAAGGTCTCTGACACCAAAACTGTCAAGGACCCAGAGATTGTTTTATGTGCTGCTGTTTTCAAGGTCAAGATTATATTGTCAATCTCAGTATCAAACAGTATCTTTGGACTTGCGTGTCTCCTCAGAATGTGGCGCTCTGACTGACCGGAAATCGGTTCTTGGCTCTGAACACAGCCACTCGTTTTACTTCTTCATCTGTGATGTTGGTGGGGATAACCAGGATTGAGGGATAGGTGTCACACAGTTCATATGTGCTGTTGATCTTACTGATGGTCCAGCTCTCATTAGGGAGACCCTGGTAAAACACATCCAAACACAAGGAAGAAACCATTAGAAGATTGTGGAAATTTTCTTTGACAAGTATGCTATATTGTCACTTTTGAGTTTTTAGCTACTTTGTTTAACAGTTACATAGATAACGGTGCTATAATCATACATGTACGTTGGAAATTTTTCTTTTTTACTTACACTGAAAATTCTCAAACCTTTATTTAACTGTTTGGTTATGTGTTTATCTATTGTCATGATAAATTCATAACAACATACATTCCACAGCACTAATTCCATTACACCAACTCAGTCATGGCATTTTCACTGCTCTTGTAACTCATGTTACATGCAAATGCCAAATTTGCTGTGAGTCGAGTCTGCAGGGACTGTCTAAAAGTGCAACACTGAAGCGACAGGCCTACTACAAAAATATTCAATAACTTTAGTCTTACCCAGTGTAGTGTTACCAAAATGATATCACACATCAATGTCTGTCTGCTGGTTATACTTCAACATTTAGTTTGGAAAAATGATCCCTTTGCACAATTTTGGTGAATTTTGGGGGGAAAAATAGGCTATTCAAAAACTTCACTGTTAGACAGTAGTGATCGAACAGCAGCAGATTCAGTCAGTGTTACAGCTGGTGTGCAGTTACCTGACGCCTGTACTCTGCCGTTGGGTCATACACCTTCCAGCCGTCCACAGGAATCTGCTCCTTGTACAGAAAGGCGAAGAGAGGCTGCCACAGGACATCACATCATGCATGTTAGCATTTAGTTACTACAGAATGCATTATCAAACTGATAAATGATGATATGTTTATGGATCAGGAATTAACATGTAGTTTATCAGCTTTAGTTACATTTACAGAGATGAAACCAAGTGGACGATGGCTTTTAAATATAATACTGTAAGTATCCCTCCTAACCACACACACACTTTATGTCGCCGAACTGCTTTTTTTTCTGAACAAAAGTAAAAAGCAATGGAGGGTATTTACAATAACATGCAGGTAGTGACACTAGTTTCCCATCAATGAATAACTGCCAGCCAAAGCAGAAGCACTGCTACTAGGGATGTAGGCTGGGAAGTGTTTTTAGTGTTTCCAACAACGCTACAAACTAAAGATTTTGGTTTAATTTTATCTCATGTAAAACTGGTTTTGTTATGTTTAATGGCAACTTAAGTGTCAGTTTAGATTTTGTATCTCTGCTGCCTTGAAGGTCCTTGCATTATTTTGTTTTCTGGCATGTTTGATGCCATCTATATGCCTGCCTGCACACCAAAATATGACATAGTGGGTGTGGTGGAAATTCACAGTTGATATAATTATGTTGCTTAATCAAACACAATAATGTGCATCTCTCTCTCTCTCTCTCTGTCTCTCTCTCTCTGGCTGTGACTGGAAAAATAGAGATACATGAGATATATGTAGGCAGCTTATTCAAAGACGTGTGACAACTCAAACAGTTGCAGGGCCTGGTATTTAGAAGACAAGAGTAAGCTCTGCATTGCTGGGAAGCCAGAGACAAAGAAAGGGGCTACAGTACAGTTGGCAGAAAAATCAGACACAGAGAGGATGGTGGGCATTCTGGTGGGAAGTGCCTTTGCTGTGTGTTAATGCTTAAGCATAAATCATGTGTGACAATATTGTGATGAGTTGAGTCTGAATTATCAGTTTTTATGGTCTGTCTGAAATTTGCCATGACAGTAGCCTTATCTTCTGTTCTGTAGATATATGTATAAATGCTCTGTGTTCAGCTGCAACAATCCTCTGGAATGTAACCAACAAGTGTAGTGTTGTTATAAAGTCACCGAGTTAGCTGTGGGCTATAACCTGAGCCCTATTTGTTTACATTATAGCAAACTTTAAATTAAAATTAAAAGGCCCACTCAACAAAGACTGAACATTGTCTTCAAGTAACAACCCTGCGAACATATTGTCTTGTATTTTGGCCTTGCAGCACAACATACACATACATTATATTAAGCCAGTATTAAAGTAGGTATGCATGAAACTGACCAGGTTGTGGGAAAGTGGGAAGGCATGTTTGACCAGAGTCTCTAGCACATCTGGATGACTTTCTTCTGTCTTATAGGCAAACCTAGGACTCCTTATGTCCTGATGCAAGAATGACATCAGGGGGAAAAGTTAAAAATGCATAATGCAAGTTAGCAAATAATATATATAAGTGGGTTTTAATGGAAATTAAAATTCTAAAAATTCTCACCAGTATGCATCAGAAATAACTGACTCATAACTGGCATAACAGTATGTGTACCTACTTTGCAGACTAGCTCAAGTCCTTTTGTGTTCTCCCCTTGGTTGGGGACACTGATGATCTCCAGTCTGCTGATGACTCCTAGGTTCACATCAAGAACAAAAGGAGACTCCTGCATGTACACAGACTGACATTAACACACAAATGCAAAACACACTACCAGCCAGTGCACACCTGAGTAGACAGCTGACATCACACAATCACCCATGAGGTTTTTGGACTGTAAATTAAAGGTATGACCATGCTTAGCCACTGCTGAGTAAATAAGGAATGACATCTACAGTACCCTTTCCACACTGGTGAAGTAGAGCTTGTAGTCTGTGATGGTCAGAGTCCCATTAACCAGACCACTGAATGGACAGATATACATCACATCCTGGACTGCATGTCAGCATGCAAACATACACACGCATAGAAACAAACAGAAAAAGGTTTTGATTGATTGGATTTATTGGGATGTAAATATATATACTTTGTGAGATTTTAAATAAAATATCAAGTTTTAAGAATAAGTGATATTGTGTGCAACAGGATACAAATGATGAATATGAACAGTTTTCTCAGAGACAGATGGCCTGAACATACCTGTAGTCTGTACGGTCTCTCCTGGCAGCAGAGGAACCTGGTTCTGGACCATTCTGACCTGTGAACCATATCTCAGAGCTGGAAGGATCTGTACAGAACACAGAGAATTCAATGGGATCACAACACTCAGCCTGGATCAGCAGCTAGGCCTAACAGACTGTTAATGAACATGTTGGTGACAAGGTTTTACTCACCAAATAAACTAAATAAGTGCCTGTCAAATTTTTTTACTGTAGTGTTTTTGTGAAAGGGTTTTACCTGAGGAATTGATTCATTTAGATGCTAGACAAATGCACATCTTTGCATAAAACTGATTAATGAAATGAAAAATGACAAAAACTACACCATTTCAGATCTGTTAAGAGCATAACCTGGATGTAACTCCTCATGAACACATTAAGACTCAAATACTAGAAACCCAGCTGGATATAATTCACTGTGAACTGAACATCAGAAAACATGGCGTTGCCCTCCACAGCTACTCAAGACTCAAAAGGTGACCAGCACTATGAAATGGAGACGCTAATGTTCAGCTTTGCCTTCAAATTTTAAGTTACCTAATGATAGGAGGATCACCTGGAGACAAACTGCAGACCACCTGCACTTAAGGAAGATAACTTTTAGCTGATCTCTTACTGTACATTGACAGTACTGCACTTAAAATGTTCATATGTAATTTTTTTAGTAGTATACTGTGATGAATGTTGTTGTGTTTGTCCTACTGCACTATGGGTTCACCAAGGAAAATTGCTAACTTTGCTGTAATGGCAATAAAGTAAACTGAGCTTAACAAACATCCAGCTTAAGTCCTGAGGGAAACAGAAGAAAATAGTTTTTGTTTTCTAAATGGCAGTATAGCATGGCAAAAGATATGGAGTAAATACAGGAAGTAGGACAATTAAAACATAGAGTACATGGAGCAGTGAGGCAGTACACACTGTGTCGTTGTAAGAGAACTGCCCCAGTAAATCTAAAAAAAGAAAAAGAACTGTGAGATGTTCACTTGCAAGAGATCTAGTGAAAAGCACAAATCAAGACAATGCCCTGCTTATGGTAAAACATGTTCAAAGTGCACGGTACAAAATCATTATGCAGACTGTGTTTTTCCAAAGACAAAAGGAAAGGACATGAAGTGCACACAGTGGAAGAAACAGATGGTGTCACGCGATGAAAATGCCAGCCTGTAAGGTTAGGGACACCAGCCAGACTGTGAGGACTATAAAAAGTCATAAATGGACGGCACTGTTGTTACTCAATGGGAAAACATAATTCATGAGAGAGAAGCTTAAAATAGTGAAAGTGTGCCACTGAAAATCAAATAACAAACCAGTCAAGAGGATCTATCAGATAAACAGTGAACACACAACATTCGATAAACATCAGGAAACAAATCACACAAATAGAAGAAGTGATAAAGTGACAGGTGATAGAAGATGACATTGTAAGGAAACGTTTTTCTTCAGGTTTCAAAGGACATGGGACATTACCACACACTTCCAAGATCCAGCTGAAGAGTGACTCCAACCCTGTGGCGGTGGAGCACCAGCACCACTTCGAGAGGGCTTGAAAGAACTGTACAGGATGACTCAGTTGGGTGTTGGTGTCACTGAATGAGTGCATGAGCCTACAGACTGGATAAGTTCAATCGTGTGTGTGAATAAGCAGATGGGAGTTTAAGAGCGGGCTATGGCCCCAAAGATCTAAATGACAATATACTGCAAAAAGAGAGCACAACCCAGTTCCAGAAAAAGAAGAGATAACCAGTGTAATACCAGGCACAATGTTTGGCAGCAAACTGGATTCTCAAGGATTCTGGCAGTTGAAGCTCGACATACTGCACATTCAGTACACCGTTTGGGAGATACTGTTTCATCAGGGTCCTCTTTGACAACATCTCAGCACAGGTGATCTTCCGCAGGGCAAAGAAGTCCATAGTAGAACATCTTGAAGGCACTAGGGTGTAATAAATAGATGACTTGGTGGTCTGGGGATCTACACCCCAAAAACATGATAAAAGACTGGAAAACCCTTAAACAGAGTCCGGGAGAACAGAATAAACCTAAATAGGAAAAAATACTAGTTCAGTGTGACAGAAATGACCTTTCTGGGAGACAAGCACACTGAAGATGGGATGGAATCTGATCATTCAGAAGGGCAGGCTGTGCTGAATATGCATCCCCATACAGACAAAAAAGGAGTCCTGTGATCCATGAGACTGATCAACTTCCTCGATAAGTTCATTCCTAATTTCTCTTACAAGACTGCATGCCTGTGAGAGTCGCTACAATGTCTCACATACTTTGACCTCTGAAAAAGAACAAACGTTTCCACTAATGCCTCAAAGGATGACTGGGGAACTTTACTTCTCCAAGTTACATGGTAAATGGTCTTAAACTTGTGTTCACTCAAAGCGCTTTCAGAATAGTTGGCCATTCACACTCACAAATGCTCACATATTCACACACCAGTGTGGGGGTTCAGTGTGTTGCTCAAGGACACTTTAACATGTTGACTAGACAAGCCTGGTATCGAACTGCTAATCCTTCAGTTAGGAGATGACCCGCTCCACCTCCTAAACCACAGCCGTCCCCCAAGTTGAGGGAAGTTGAGGGAAGCAAATCGTAATCTGAGGCATATGCATAAGAAACCATGACAGAGACTGAAAACCACTATGCTCAAACAGAAAAAGAAACCTTGAGCTTAGTTTATATGGTTTGTGTCTGTGGTCTAGTAACTGCAGCATGGAATCAACAAAAAACAAGCATCACATCACCGGTTTCCCTCATTTATTTATTTATTTATTTATTTTTGAGTCATCGATGCTTTTCAAGTAAGGGCATTTAAAGCCTCGGTAAGAGAAGATAACACAATAATTAAAATCTGTAGCTATCTGATTTATACCAAGTCTATTTTTGAAGAAGGTTGGAAATTTACATGAAAGCCACCCATGTTACTCCTTTGTCTTTTAGTCTACCCTCACTTAAGACTCTTGAGTTGTGTGTGAATATGGGACACTTGGCCACTAAATCAAGGATTATGCAATTTGCATCTTTAACTTCATTAGTATTAATGATGTGATAGCATTTTAAGTCACATAAGTATTTGTTCCATTACAGGAACCTACTGAAACATGTAGGGCCAAGTAACACTCATCAAGGGCGACAGCTTTGGAGGTGGGTAGCAGCAATTAGCCAGTAATGGAGACTGTATGAGCAGCTTATGAAATAGCTGCTGCAAGCAGAACACAAGCCTGCAGAAATGTGACTTCCTCACCACTTTGATTGTGGTCCACTCACTGACGTCCCTGTTTTACCCCTAAACTAATGAGTGAATGTCTGTCATGTCTATCATTTCTCTTGAATAACTTTCAAAGTAAATAACTTTCAATTTAACAATGATATCAGCCATTCAAAATGCCAGCAGTAGGTTTTCATGGTCAAGCAATCATATATGAGGGTAAACTGTTATGGGAATATTGATTTTATGGCATTATGGGGAAAGTGACTTGTTCTTTGGTAGACGTCCTAAATTTGTTGGAGACAGGACAGGTTTCCCAAATTAGGAATTTTGATAAGATTCTCTTAATATAAAACCAAAAATGTATCATTTTGAGAATTTTTGACCAATTACTCTGAGATGCTTGATAGATATGGGCCCATTCCAACACTACCAGTGCAGTGAAAGGTTTGGACATACTTTCCCATTCAATACGAAAGTATGTCCAAACTTTTGACTGGTAGTGTATACACTAATCTGAATTTGTTCTTAGAATATTCTGACTTTAATGTCAGAATATTCTAAGAAGAAAGTCAGAGTGTAATTACTTTATTCTCAGATGAGAAATACAACTTAAATCTCATATTTTTTCAAAATTAATTATTTATTTTGTGCGGCACTAAAGTGCTGTCATGAAATTGTGACTATTTAATCAAATAAATTAAATCTACTACAAAATAAAATCTCCAAAAAAAAAAAAAAACAGTGAGTCTGAATTCTTAAGCCACTGTAAATTTTCCCAGAATACAAATCAATAGCTTTTTTCTTAAAGACATACAGTATATTGTTTATTGGCCTTTTTCAACAGCAGTAAAGAAAACAGGGACAGAAGGAGAGGAAGAGCAGAATGAGGCATGCAGACCAGGACAGAATGGATAAATAATACACAGGAGAAAGGCCAGAGAGTGAAAAACTTGCCAAAGCATTGGAGGGATGCTCAGAATCACTTTCTCCATGGTAACAAATCCATTCATCCTGTAAATCCTGCTGCAGGACAGAGGCAGCATGGAGAAAGTGAGAGAAAAAGAGAGAAAGAAGAAGAGACATTATACAATAAATGCACATTATTCAGCATGTAGCACACAGGTACTGGACTATCATCACTCCCTGCTGTGCTGAGTTTGGTGGTGCCCTTGTAGGAAGTGATGAGGTCACATGCCAAATATCCCTCCTTCAGTAGGTGTGGTTGTGTTTATTTATGCTTTAGAATGTAACAACCTTGATTCAATCACATAAAAATGCAGTGGATCCCACACTTTTTCAGCTGGAGATCCTAAAGGCAAATTTGGTTTCTCTCCGCTACACAAACTTACAAAAAATCATCAAGGATAGCTACAACATTGGCATTTGTAAACTATCGGCAATGAACATAACAAACCCTGTAGGGATGCACCGATACCACTTTTTTCAGACTAAAGTACTTACATTTGAGTACTCACCAATACAGAGTGCTTCATGACACAACGTTTCTACTATGAAGAACTGCAATTACTATGAAAGTGCAATGACTTCAGAGTCAATAATTTCATGAGATTTACTTTCTGATAGTGATTAAATAAAATATGCTATGTAACAACAGGAGACTGTACAAATTACCTGAAAACATTCTGTGATAACAAACACAGCATTGCCACCATTCCTATTGAGTAACTTGCAACTGAAATTCTGTAGCCTGCTACACAGGCATACACTGGATGTTAACCTCTGTAGGCATGCGATCCTCTGTGAGACTGTAATGATTTCTCAACCCCCTGACTAGAACGTCACAGTTTGTGACATGCATATTATCAGTCACCAATTGAAATGCTTATTTTAACAAGGCTATACGCTCTTATGTTAAACTGGCTACTGTCTATCTCCCTTTGGAGGTCTTCTGGGCATGTCCCACTGGTAGGAGACCCCAGGGCAGACCTGTAACATGCTGAAGAGATTATATATATCCTCTGGCCTGGGAACGCCTCAGAGTTCCACCAGAGGAGCTGCAACATGTCACCAGGGAGAGGGACATCTGGACTACTTTGCTGAAGCTGCTGCTACCGCGACCCGACCCCAGTTAAGTGGATGATAATAGAATGGAATGGCTGCTGTCTGTGGCTTCATCCTGTTCTCTCTGTTGGACACACACCTGGCTCTGCTGTAGAGGAGCTGCTGGTCTCAGCCTCCAAGTCCACAAATATTTTACCCATTTTTATACATGGAGCTCATTTGATGTGACCATTAACTACATAAAGTTAGCATCTGTTTTCTTCCTGTCCACACCAATTCACTACAATCAGCATAACGAGCACTGTGGTGGTTTTAGCGGACTAAACGGGACTAGGCTTTTTTGGCCGCAGAGAGAGTGAAGAGTTCACATTTCTGCAAGTTTGTTGTGCTCTGTCTCTTCAACAGGTGCTGGATTAATTACTCTCTCCATTACTGTTGGTTTTATTGCACATATTGAGTGTTGACGACTGTAAATTACAACCTTGTGCCTGCGTGTCTGTGGGGAGAGATGGGCGCTCAAACACGCTTGTCCTATTTCTGTGAGGATACTCATTGATATAATGCATTCCCTGACATGCTAGAATTTAGGTGAATCCCATTTCCTATATTTTATTTCTCAGCCCTTGATTCTTGCTCAATAGACTACGATAGAATAGAATAGACTTTATTGTCATTACAGTCATGTGCAATGAAAATAGTATGCTTCCAACCTGGAAGCTGTTCTGCTTGGCAATGATGAAGAATGTTCAGATGCTCTTATTTCTGCTCTGAGGAGCAAGGAGGCTGCCTGGAGGAGCTATAGCCAAGGATACACAAGTTCCCCTTCATGGAAGTCTGTTATGGAATTGTCAGGTTTGGTCTGCGCCACCTGCCTCTCCTTGTTTTTCTCTCTCCCTCTCTCCATTCTGCAGGCTCTGTGTCCCAGGCGTGGCACACAGCTGTGCTGAGTTACATAGCTGAGGCAAGTTGCCTCATCACCATCCTCCTATTTAAGACTCTGGCAGATGCTCCTCCAGTGCCAGTACGTTAAGGATTACTTCCATCTCCATATCGACTCACCTGTAACTACTACTGCACTCTGATCCTGCAACTCATCGCGTCTCTTCTAGCCTCCTAGCCATGACATCTCTGCTCGTCTCCTTCCGAGCCCCCCTAGCATCACTTTCCTCATCTCTCCTGGCTGATGTCTCCCCCCTCTGCTCTCACTGACCCCTTGAGAATTCTCTTCCCTGACAAACCAACTCATCTCCAGTCCCGGCCCTTCACTGGACCTCTTCTCAGAGACTATCACTATTCTACTGCTGTTTGCTACTGATAAAATCTCTTATCAGAACTGTGCGTCTGCCTCCTGAGTCCCACCTGCTTGGCCACCTCACTCCCGCGAGTGAGCGATCATGACAGGAATGACATGCTCCTTTATTGGACAACAGTTTGTGATTGGAAGCTTCACATCAAGGATTGGAAGAAAGGACGTGTCAGTTAAAATGCGTTTCCTCGTTCCTCTCTCCTTATAGTTGGTCCTTGCATCTTACATGGGCAAGACTAAGATGCAAGGAAAAGGCGCAAGTGAGGGAAACATTAATGCAATTGGGATTCAACTTTTGTGTTGGGACATCATGAAGCATCACAAACGCAGCATTGGTTGTCGTTTAATTTTGGAAGCTAACGATTGGTATACCTCATACCTTACCCCCGCATAACTGCCTGGGCTGACGCAGACCATCCTGCTTTGTTTTTCCACTGTGTGCAATCTCTTGTCTAGAGGAGGGAGCGGATGTGCCCCTCTCACACATAAGCCCCTTTTCCATCACCTGGTTACATTTATTTTACATAAAAATAGCATGTGCACCTTCAACCAAGACACTGTAACAAGCTTACAAAAGGAATTGTTTATGGTTAGAGGGCAGCGACACTCTGGCTCATACTGGGTGTGTGCCTTAAAGATATTCCAGAACCCAGAATGTAAAGACATGAATGATGTTCAGAATCACAGAATATTGTATCTAAAAATGATTGAGAAATTATGTTGAACATATCACCAATGGTATGGACAAAAGCAATGTCAAAAGGCCTGGAAAACAGACCAAAAGATTTCAACTGGCTTGTTTTACACAGAAAGCTCCCTGTCAGATCCTTATTGTACAATCACAAGTTGTCTTTGAATAAGTTTTTTCCTGAGAGACTCCAGTTTTGCTGAGGAAACCATCTGTCATGTCCTGTGGGAATGCAATTTTGCAGTAACTGTGTGGAACTTTTGGTTTGAGTGTTTAAAAATTGTGAACTATGAAACCGTGGTTTACTTTGAAATGAAAAATGTAAAAAAAAGGCATCTCCTACCACTGTTAATACTAATCTCCTTGACCAAGACCAAATTGTGGAACGCTAGACAATCCTTATGGAATGAGTCCATGAAATGGACTGAACGTGGAGTTGTGAAATGGAACCTACCACTGTTAATACTAATCTCCTTGACCAAGACCAAATTGTGGAACGCCAGACAATCCTTACGGAATGAGTCCATGAAAGGGACTGAACGTGGAGTTGTGAAATGGATCTAAACGAAGATTAAGAAAAGATTGAGCTTCGTCATAGAGAAGTGGGGTTTGGACTCCATAAAGGACAAATGGAAGATCATATTCCCCTCTCTCCCAGCCATCACCTCACTCTATTCTGTGAACCTTAAGATTGGTAGAAACACTTTCAGATGTCTTAAAGGGGACAAAACTCGATTGTTTCTGAAAATGTGGTGCCTAGGGACCAAACCCAAGCGAAAAGACTGAATTGGAAGGGGAGAACACTGTTTTAAGGATATTCAATACTTTGCTCTGTCACGATGCAATGTACTCTTCATGATTGCATGATCTGTTATGTTGAAATGTAACATTAACCTTTTTTGAACAAATAAATATATTTTTCCAAAAAAAAAAAATCTTTTGTATCCAAACACAACTCTTACACCTGGGATACAGCCTCTTGGACACCTGGAGGTTAAACACACCACGTACACAGGACACACACACATACACACAAAGTTCACATGAAATGAAAGCCACTCTGATATCAAACTGAATGTCACTTATACTTTTTTGTGACATTACATCTCTCATTTAAACCAATAAAATAAAAAAGAACAAAGTAAACATTCTGTATGTGGTGACAGCACACAAGAGCTGATGCAATAAAAAAATGCACTGCCACATCAAAAGCAATGCCGATTGAAATATCCAAGCAAGTGCAGCAAACTAAACCTTGTCTAATTAAAAAGAGAGAGAGATGCAAAACAGCTAAGCAAACAGAGTGCAGAGCGTTTTCCAGTATGCATACTTCTCTGTACTTGTGTTCTTGCGGACTTGCTCCCAGTTGAAAGACTGCATCCAGCCAAGTACAGATCAAGAAACCAGAAGTGTTCTTGCGCTACCCATTTTATCAAGGACTTGTGCGGACTGCTTGGGACAGCCAAGTATCCCAGAATGCACTGTGTGCCAGCTATCAGAGTTTGCGCCAGGCTCAAAGCTGTTAGAACGGTCATTATGCCAGTTTATGAAGTTTTTATATTTTTTCAAGCGAGAAAGTAACTGCTTAGAATATGTGGTCAGTTTATCAAGTAATGCTAATATGGAAATTTGCTCCGACGTTTGCAGAGATGCCAGGATTTGCTAACTGACCATAATTTTAGTAGTCTATTGGCAAGGACGCTGGTGTTCCAGTTGCATATTGAGAATATTGCATCCTCCCATTCTTGGGAGTTTATAGTTAAAGATCGAACTCCCAAGTACAGGAGTCCAAACTTGGCGTAGAAGGTATTGAAAATCGCCCCATACTGTAAGTATCTGAATAGTTAACAATCCTTTGCTCAGGCACACGATCAAGATCAAAGATGTTTATTGTCAATTAACTATATCAAAATACCGTTTCTCTTTCACCTAGTATTGAATGCCATACCATTTAGGAAACTAAAATAGAATAAAAGTAGAGTAAAAATAGACTAAAAAGAATAAGAAAACTAAGTCAGAGTGATTAGGATAAAACTAAATGATACAACCTAATAGGCTATGACTCAAACCCTGTACAATCAGTGACAATAGTGCAAATAATAAGTGAGAGTGAGAGTAAAACACACACACACTCTGCGCAGTACACGTATTCAGTTCAGCAGTCTCTCTTTCATCAACACCTCCCATTTCAACTTTCCACACAGTGACCAGTGTTGCGCCCAGGAGGTGTGCTCCAGCCAGTCCCTGAGAATCACTGATCTGACATTTAAATCCATGCACAATAATTAGCCCACAAAATAACACATGAAGGTTGCTCATGCGCAAACACCCTGCAGATGTCCCGATTATGTTTCAGGCATTACTGACAACAGGTGAAGTTAGCATGGCTGCTGGTGTGGGTTAAATACAGCTTATAGTTTTGCATTAACACTCAATCACAGAAATCCCTGTATGAAACACTTTGTAACTCATCCATAAATTAAAATATATTTTCACCTTACTGTCCCATGAAGCATCAAACAGCTACAATATCGCACAGCCCTGCAGTGGATCAAAGTCTACATCATGACAGCAGCACACGGACTGACTTTAGCTGCTCTCAGAAATACCTGTAAGATTCTGATTGGGACGTGCAGGCTCTGTATTATTTATCATGGCTCATACGCTCACTGGCCACTTTACTAGGTACACCTGTACAATTGCATGCACTTCAATGCAACACTTCTTCCTTAACATTTGTGTTTATGAAGCTAAAAATGTTTCAGTTTTTGTATAAATTCAAAGTTATGTTTATCATTGAGGTCATAGTTAAAGGTGATGTTGTACTGGACTACATTATATTCAGAGGTGTTCCTAATATTCTAACCCTTTATGTATGTAGCTGGGGAATCCATTATCAGTTCTTTGGTTTTGTCTGTTTAAGATGACATCATTGTCCTCTCCATAGGCTGCAATTTTGTGGACCAAATCCTTGTATGGTGATTCGTCTTGCCCTCTAATAAGGCCAATAACGGTCATGTCATTTGAATATTTGATCATAATATTGTTATCTTGAGAGGAAAGTCATATGTGAACAAAAAAAGAGTTTGGGAGTGAGGCAGCAGCCCTGGGGGGTTCCGGTGCTGCATGTAAGCTCAGCAGAGACCTTGTTTCCCATCCTCACAACCCGTGGTCTAGCCATAAGAAAATCCAGAATCCAGTTACAAGCGGATGTTGGTACTCCAAGGTCTGCCAAATCAGCTTCACTGGCCTGATTGTATTAAAGGCACAACTGTAATACAGGCAGTGTAGCTATAATTTGGGCAAACTAATCCTTTAACCACCATGCTGCGATTTCCTGTTTATATTCTACAGTAACTGACATTTGTATCTTTTAATCTAAGAGTAATGGTAGAATTTGGTCACCTTGTAATTTTAATGATTTGCAAATGATTACAATGATTTTGGTAGCTTCTAGCAACTACATATGCCATGAGATTTTAATGCTGCCTGTCTAAGGATATTGGGAACTGTAGCTATTATGTTTTACTCCAGTCTCTCCTCTTATTTACAAAGCTACATTTAAAAACCGCAGGCACCAGGATTAGTTTAAATACTTGACGTGAGTCCAGCTGGTTGCAACACAGAATTTGGTTTCAGGTGAAATTCATGTCATTTTGTTGCATACAGGGCAAGCACACTGAACATGTGATGAAATATTATAGCAGAGCTATGAGTTTTCTGGTTGAAAATGGTTCATCATTTTGCTTGTGCATGCAAATATGCAACATCGTCCAAAGTGACACAGTTTTTGTCCATGTCACTGTTTGTCCTGTATCAGTATAACCTCACAGGGAAACCATAACTTTCACAAACAATACAGTTACATGACATGAGAGGCTTTTCTAGTTTTTCATCCTCATTTGCAGCTCCACACCGAGGGGCTAACCTCACTAACTTGGTTTAGTCAACAGAGAACATTACCACTGTCAAAGCTGTCCAGGTGGGCTCTCACAATAAAGAATTGCTGTTTCACAGCATACTCAGCAAATTTAACAATATTATTTTGTATGAAAACAAATAACATTGCATACCAAACTGAAATTTGGGATAAATACACATACTGTTACACCTCTCAAACCAATCTTCTGGTTCCAGGTTAGAGTTTGATTTTTAATGAACCAACCGGGACAGCGATTAAGAACAACTGTGACTGAAGAAAGCAGGCTGCTGACAGGCAGAAGCAGAAGAGAACCTGTTTAGTAGGTAAATAAGAGCCTATCTAATCTGACAACTGCTGTGATACAGTTCAATAACATACACTTAAAGCACAAAGCTCTGCCCACACACTTAAGTGCATACATGTGCATACCACAGTATACACATGTATATATTTGCCTTACCGTGACATTGCGTCTTCTCCCAGCCTATCAGTTACAAAACACAAACTGATGAGAAATACTGCCAACAGTCCGAGTATGTTTGCATCTGTGTGTGTTAATTACCTTGTTGTCTCTGTTCACGATGTCAGGTGGAACTGGTCCTGAGATCTGACTGGAGATGGTGGCTGCTATCAGTTGTTTACACCACTCTACATGAGAACCTGATGGACTGAACAGAAAGGTGAGAAAAAAGGTTATTCACTTTTTTTTCAGTTATCTCAATTTTGTCATTTGTATTGCTGTTATGCCACCATCTATGTCCTATTTATACCATGGGCAGTGAAAATTAGTGATTCTGATTGGCTGGTGGGTTCCATGTAAATACCCTGATTACCAGCTGACCTCATCTTTGTTCTCTGGCATGCTGAAGAAGCAAACAGCAATACAATATGGTCTCTTATGGCTTTACCAAGATATTCTTCTATATTTAATAACAAATAACATTATATGGAAGTTTCTCGTTACAACAGCCACCAGCCTACTGTATCTTAACTTGCTATAAGGAATCTTATAATGGAATATGTTGAACTGTTGCCATAAAAATAAAAGTGTCAGACTATACAGAAATAATGTAATAATGAGATAATACATTTTTAAATTTTTTTAATGTTTTTGAAATATTCATTGTTTTTATTTTAACTTTTAATTTTTTTATTAATTTGATAATATTAGTTATTAACTCTTTAATTTGAAAATATTAGTTATTAACTCTTACTGACTCAGCAGATCATTTTGTTATTGTGTCAGGAATATGCTGCCATATTAGTATGTTTGTTTACACCTAGTGAATGCAACAACCAGATTCACCACTAGTTTAATCCATCTTTTCAATAAGACAGAGCCCCGTCCCAATATGGCGGCCAGGTTGATTCTGCGCTGTGCTCAAACCGTATTTGGACTATGTGATGATCTTACGTTAGCTATTAATGTCTACTGATAGACAATATTGTTTTGTCTAACATGTTAATAAACTGTTTTATGGTTCTTATAGCCTATGGAGATTTAAATAGCCAAACAGAAGCTTGTAGCCGTATATGTCATACGGTCACTACAAACTCCAGAAAAAAATCCTACGCTGTAGAATTTCATTAGCTTATATGTTAAAAACTTGCAACAGTTATAAAACTATTTGTGAAATAGGCGCTGATTCATGTAGCTATTGTATCTATGCCGAATTAACCATACGATCCTCTTAATTCAAGAAATCTTGTGTAATATTTAATGGGAAATTAAATACTGCAGAAAAGCAGTATTATTTTGACGACTACGTTTGACAGAAGTCATTATTGTTGCAATATGGAGCCTAGCATTACTCACCAATCCAGGATATCACCGGTGGCTGCTCCGGAACTCTGCGAGCCCCAGGACTTTTTATTCGGCCCTACTCCGTCCGCAGCCCCGGCAGCTCCGGCCTGTTTCTCCATCGGCCAGAGAACTGTTTTCTTTCTGGGTCACAGGGGGTGGGGTGGGTGATTTTCTGTGATACGAGGATGCGGATGAAATTAAACCTTGGCTTAATTCCGTGTCCGTGCCTGTTTTCTCGATGAGACCTCAGCTTCTTCTGTAAAACCTGCCTTTCTAGCGACCGAATAATGTCCTTCATTTGAAAACGTGTGCTTCCTCCTTTCTGTTTCTGACTTGCATCTCTTCCTCCCTGCGTAGCTCCACCTAGCTCGATTTACAACACGCCAGATGCGAGGATGAGAGACGAGTGGAAGGAGGACGCGCACTGTGAAACACTGGTCAGCGGGCCATTTATGTTATTGCTTGGAAGCAGTGGTGCGACATCTGGAATCAATGCAAACAACAGAATAGGAACTTCTGAACTTAACATGTCATAAAAACAGCGATTCCTTCCAGCACGACACTTCTACTGTTCTCTCTATGTTGAATCATTTTAAGTTTTGCTTAGTCAAATTCACCTCGATCCAGGACCGTTTTTCATTTGTGATTCAGATTAGACTGATTATTTGATGTCTGTTGTTAGAACGGGTTCTTAAACCTTAACCTGCAAAAGTGCACGGTTACCGACACTATCACAATTCACTTACAGTATACTTAGCCTATGGAAGGTAACATTTAAAACATCAACAACGAACCACTGCAGGTCGCATATGCGATTTGGCGCAGTTTCTAAGCCGGATGCCCTTCCTGACGCAACCTTAAGGGACAATTTAGAATCACCACTTAACCTATGTCTCTAGACTGCGGGAGGAAGCCGGAGTACCGAGAACATGCACGGGGAGAACACGCAATTGACTCCACACAGAAAGGCCCTGGCCGGGATTTGAACCTAAAACCTCTTGCTGTGAGGCTAACCACTGAACAACAGTACCGCCCAATATGTCATCTTAACGCCAAAGCCTATTATTAAATGACTGATTGCCGAGCTCACTTTGTTGAGAACTGTTGAGTCAAATTAATTTACTTTTCGAGCTCTGTTAAAAGGTATTTTATTTTCATAGCAAGCTTATGATTAACATCCAATACTGTCTTGCATATCTGTCAGGAAGAATCCCACCAATGCTTATCTGGTCTTATACTTGTATATCATTTGTACCATGTAGATACACTCCAATTCGGCACAACCCTGATTTCCAACTGCATAATAACCCTATCTATTTCCCAGCATGGCAACACAGAGGAATCACTCACTTACATCACCTATTTGAAAATAACCAGTTCATATCATTTAATACATTGATCCAGAAGTACGGAGGTCAGAGAGAACAGTTCCTCCAGTACAATCAGCTAAAATCCATAATTAAGTCAAAGATTAGTGTAATCAATAACCCACTACAACTTTCCAAATTAATTGAAGAGATTATGAAAATTACAGATTCCAAGAAAATAATATCCAAGATATATAAACTCATATCAAATATAGACTCAACAATAACAATATCAAAACTCAAATGGGAAAACGATATAACTCTCTCCCTCAACTCCAACTTCTGGACAGAAATTTGCAATAACATCTTTTCAATGACCAGCAATGTAAACTTCTAACTTATACAATACAAGACCATTTATAGGACCCATATTACAGAAAGTAAAATGTTCATAATGGGTTTTACCGACACAGACATCTCTTCACAATGCACTCTGGATTGCATTGACAATTATTTTCATGCTACTTGGACCTGCCAACCAGTTCATTCCCTCTGGATAGCAGTGACAGAGAAACTCTTCACTACCTTGGGCTGTAAGATCCCTCCTTCTCCTTTGCTTGCTTGGTAATATCGTAGACGTTGACCACCTACCTATTAAATACAAAATCCCACTCCTCATTTCTCTAGCTATTGCTAAGGAAACAATCTTTCAAAACTGAAAATCAAGTAAATCACTACACATCAACCACTGGACCAACTTTCTGATAGAATACATCACACTAGAGAAAATGGCATCTACTCACAAGAACAGTTTATCAGCTTTTTATGACACATGGAACCCATTTTTAACACATTTCAACTTGAACCAAACACCTGGGGCTGAGGCCACGCACATTCCCACCAACCTCTAAAATGGAACAAGCTGATTTTATTAGCGGTACTGTTATCATCATCATTACTGGTAATTTGTTTTTTATTTTCCCTCCTTTTCCCTTTCTTGCATTTCATAGACTGAATAAGTTGGAAATACCCACACTTCACTGCCAAGTATGGTGAGTGGGGGTAAGGTGGGGGGGGTTCTTCCTGAAGTCCACTGTCATCTCCACTGTTTTGAGTGTGTTCAGCTCCAGGTTGTTACAGCTACACCACAGGACCAGCTGTTCTACCTACCGTCTATAGGCTGACTCATTGCTGTCTTGGATGAAACCAATGATTGTTGTATCATCAGCAAACTTTAGGAGCTTGACAGAGGGGTCCCTTGGGGGCACCTGTGCTGATTGTCCGGGGGCTGGATGTGGTTTTCCCCAGCCTCACCTGCTGCTTCCTGTCTTTCAGAAAGCTAGTAATCCACTGACAGGTGGGGGCAGACACAGTGAACTGGGTCAGTTTGGAGTGGAGGATGTCCGGGATGATGGTGTTGAATGCCAAGCTGAAGTCCACAAAAAGGGCCTGTGCATAGGTCCCTGGGGAGTCAAGGTGTTGCAGGATGTAATGCAGCGCCATGTTCGTTGCATTGTCCACTGACCTATTTGCCCGGTAGGCAAACTGCAGGGGGTCCTGCAGGGGGTCTATGATGTCCTTCAGGTGGGCCAACACCAGTCTTTCAAAGGACTTCATAACTACAGATGTCATTATGACAGGTCTGTAGTCATTCAGTCCACTGATAGAGGGTTTCTTGGGGACTGGGATGATGGTGGAAAGCTTTAAGCAGGAGGTGACATCACAGCTCCAGTGACCTGCTGAAGATAAATATGAAGATGGGAGCCAGCCAATCAGCACATGCTTTCAGGCAGGAGGGGGCCACACCATCTGGGCCTGGTGCCTTTTGATCTTTTATTTTTTAAAAAGGACACACACGTCCTGTTTGCTATACTTGTATAGCGCTTTTCTGTGCAGCACACCAAAAGCACTTGCACACTATTTAGTCATTCACCAATTCACACTCCCAAACCGGTGTCATCACTGGGAGCAACTGGGGATTCAGTGTCTTGCTCAAGCACACTTTGACATGCGAACTGGACAAGCTGGTAATCGAACCACTAACATTCTGGTTAGAAGACAACCCACTCTACCTCCTGAGCCACAGCCGCCCCCAACAACACACAAGATGCGAGGATGAGAGATGAGTGGAAGGAGGTGGCCATAAGCCATATTTGAAGAATATGGTGCAGTGGTGCGACATGCTCATCTGCAATCAATATAAACAGAATAGGAACTTCTTAATTCAACATGTCATAAAAACAGTTATCTAAGCACACTGGTTAAAAGTGATGAAAGTGCAGAACAGTGGAAACACTGTGGACCTCAATGTGGAACAAAATAATACCAGTAAAATACATCAGTATGCATTTATGTTCATGAATCTGTTGCCCCAGTGCAAGCTGGGAGGCTTCCCAACACCTGCACCTCCTGGATCTGTAATCAGCACTCAGCCCATCAAAGGAATGGTGATTATGGTTTCAACTCTGTTTTTATTTAAAGTGCAAGTGCAAGATACAGTAATTGCATCCAAGTTAAACAAATCAATCCTCAAACTGCTTTCAAAGAACCAAATTAGCTGGAAGAGAGCTAACAAAACAGAATATTTTAGCCTGATATCAGCATGTTGGCCTGAATTTGTTAAGCCATATTTGAAGAATATGGTGCAGGACTCTTATAGATCATACCACCCATGAATATATCAAAACATTCTCCAAAAAAACAATGTGTTTACTTTGGCAAATTTTGTCATGTTAATGCAGGAAGAAAGGACCATCTTGAAAAACAAGACAAAAAAAAACACTGATTAATCAACACATGCAAGGAGCCAGAAGCAGAAATACTTAAATTAATTTAATCGGTAATATTTACACAACAGGAGCCATCCAACAAACTGTGGAGAGAATATGACATGATTAAAAGAAATACATTATAAGTGCATTCAGGTTCCATTGCTGATGCCTAAAACACCCTGAAACACATTTCATATGTATTTATTAAGAAGCAAAATATATTATGATGTAATATCCTTCAAACGATCCCCTACATTAATAAAAGAGTCAAACTAAAATGAACAATGACAGGGTACTTCTCAGATTCTGATTCACCACAGAGAATCTTAAACCAAAACCATCATCAAAGTGAGAGAAAGATGTCAAGGTTCATGACAAGTGAACAGTATCCCCATTTCTCTTTTTTCATCACGGTACAAACAAATGCCCTCAAAAAAAAAAATAAACAAAGGTTTTAACCAAAGGAGCAGAAATCTACAATTTATACCAACAGTTTCTGAACCAACATTGCTTTCCTTTGTTATAAAAATGCAAGATTTTACACTACACAAAATAACTGTATATTACAACAATAGAATTTTAGACAGTAAAATAGGTTTTGATTGAGGTAATTACATCATGGTGCTTGTACAAAGTAAAAAAAAAAGAAAAAAAAAAAAGATTTTCATTGTTTAACCATAAAAACACAACCACCCAACAAACACACATTGCTTTCACTTCTTTTCTGTCTGTTGTTTTACCTTCAGACATCCTTAGTGAGACCAAACCGTTCAAAGATAAAAAGTGTCCAAGTACCCTGTTCTGTATTTAATCCACTCTGCACACAGGATTCAAGTTGCATTCTTTTAATCTACCTGATCCTACTCACCCAGACCTAGAAAAGACAACATAGTTGCAGTTAGCCCGTTCTCTTGAGACTCTATGAAACAAGACACTTCATCCTAACTTCTATCCACTTTGTTATAGTTGCCCCTAGTCACAGTGGACTAGATACATTTATCAGTAACTACTGGGTTATAGTTGCCCCTAGTCACAGTGGACTCGATACATTTATCAGTAACTGTTGGCCAATCAATGGGATTACATTTGCATGGAAGCTAGGAAAGGATTAGGAGCAGGTTATACTCAAAAATAAGCAACTCATATGATGAGTTCTTATCAACAAGGTTAGAGGGGCTAAAGTTAGAGTAGGAAATTTGTAGTTTTCATTCTATATGATCTGCTATGGCATCACACTACAGAATTTAGAGGGGATCCAGGGGCTTCCTTCAACACAGGAAATGAACCCTTCTAAAGTTCTGTCTTCTACCTGTATTTACCTGAGAAATACCTGCAGTGACCACCCACCTGATACCACTTCAAAATCCCACAAACACATAAACAACAGCAGAGCATTCTCCCAAATCACGAGTAAAAAGACTGCATTCCTTTGGAACCTTTAACTACAAAGCGGTCAGGACAGACCAAAGAGAGCTAGGGTACGTCTCATTAAGGAGGAGAAGGTAAGTCTCACTATAAAGGCACAAATCTGGACATGACCTGATGCACTACACACAATGACTAAATCTCAAGTCACAACTGAAACTGCCACACTATCTACAGCACATCACCTCAATGCATTTGTTTCCAGATTGCTGGAAACACAGTCAGTTGAACAAGAGAAAATGTACTGAAAGTGAACCTGAGTTGGCTTTTCTGAACCTTCGTGACTTTCACCATGAAGGCTGCTTATTTGAAATTACACATAGTAGGTTCTCATGGTTCCAGAAGTAAAGATCCATTACATTCTCTGTGCCAACTACAACTCCCAGAGAATTTAATAAAAAAAACAAAAAAGTTACCAAAATTAACTTGCCTGTGCTGATAACATCTCGTAATTAGGGACTTCTCTTTTTAGAAAGTCTGTACTGTACAAGGTAGCTGAAACAGGACAGTGTCTAACATATACTGTATTTCACCCAGGTTAGAAGAAGGCTGGCTGACGTGACCTGGCCCACCTGACAGACCACTGATGCATCGCTATGTAGGCTGTATGTTGTGGAACACCAATATTAGGTCAGTACAATGAGCTTCATAAAACCATCACTAATATAACAGTAATGGAAATGTAACAACATTCACTGAAGGAGGTTGGCTCAGCATAACTTAATCTACACTGGGGAAATTCCTTCTGGGACCAGCAGCTTCTCACACTCTGCCTCTCTATTGGGCACTTCAAAAGTCAGGCAGGTTATCTTTAAAAAGGTCTGGCCAGTCTCACACATTTTCTGTATTGACAACTAGACAACTTCTGCTGGTGAAAATGCTAATTGCTGCTTTTTGGCATATTTCAGTTCACTGGCAATGGAACCACTCTTGCTGGAAAGAACTGCAGGATTATGGTAAAAATAATTCATTTGTGAAGGCGGTGTCTATAGAATGTTACAAATATAAAAAGTCAGAATGATTGGATCTAAAGTGGCTATCCATGGTGACTTCTGGGTCTAACTATCCAGTATGAGGTTCAACAAAATATGCTGAAAAGTTCCCTTGAGTATAGAGCCACAGCACAGCTCTGTAGCAGCTCTGAAGATAAACTGCAACCAGGATCTGGAGTTCTTTTATCCATTAGTCTCATTATGTTTTCAGTGGTGGACCCATAGCTGCCACTGCCAAAATAACACAATCAGGATTTCTCACTGATGGATGATGATGTGCTGGCAACACCATGTATCATACCCATATCCAGTTCTTACAGTATTACAGTACCCAAGCCTCAATTATTTATTAGGTGGCCTGGGCTGTAATAAGAGACTGAGGACTACCCCCTTAGACTGACTAAACAAATGTGGTAGCAGAGCAATTAACCTCAAGAGTGATTGTAATGAACAGTCATCATCCTGACAAACTGAATGGTACAGTACGCACACATTTACGATAGGTATTTTAGCAGCATGCTGGTCATAGTTATTCTGTTGAGTTTACCCCAGCTGGTTTCAAAGTAACTAGAATGGGAGCTTTACAAGTTAGTGGCAAGGAATTTGTTTCTGGTACAGAACTGAGGCAACCAACTGTGGTGCCGACTCACACCGATGGCTCTAACCATCTGGGGCAACTTGGGGTTCAGTGTCTTGCCCAAGGCCTCTTTGACATGTGGACTGCAGGCACCGTGAATCGAACCGCCAACCTTCTGGTTGGGTGATGACCACTCTACCCACTGAACCACAGTCGCCCCATTTTAAATTCTATTGTCATAATATAAAAACTAGATTTTTCCTAACATTCCTCTTTTATCCACATACACACTGTTGTCCATTTGATACCCTGAGTTAGACTCTGCACACTCTTGTGTAAACATAAGCTCCATGATAGCACCAAAACCCAAAGAGACAATTATTTTCTAGAAGCCAGTTATTAGAGGTGGGAGTAAGTCATACATGCACAAGTCTCAAGCAAGTCCTAAATTACTGTGGTGAGAGTCAAGCAAGTTGAGTCCCTACTAAAAGTCAAGCAAGCCGTACAAAGTTCTGATGATATACCCTCATTTCCACATTTAAATCGGTTAAAAGACAGTGATCACAAAAAGTCTTATTTTAATCATTAACAAAAAAAGTGTTGCAGTTTGCTTACACCTTATAATTCTTACTGATATTTGCCATTTTGTAGCAATCAAAAACATGCCTTCTAAACAAACAACAATGGTGAATAGGGCCCTGGAATTTTAATATACCCCTATTGCTTAAAACCTAGGTACAAAAAATGTACAGCACAATTTTAGGACTCCTGCCTTGCAGGAAATAAATACTGTTAACAAGATCTGCCTTCTTCATTCTTTCTCTGATCCTTATTTCAATCTGAAGGATACTTTGTGATGATTGTCAGGGCTCATATCACCTAATGTTATGGTAATAGCACATATTAATTGTGCATTCATGGGTTAGAAACAAACCTTTAGCTATTAAATAAAAAATACATTCAAGGCTTTCATGGCTATCATAAACTCTTCTCAGTAAGATATGTAATCGATTCAAAGACAAATCTAACAGCTTAAACTTAACGCTAGCTTTCTAGCTAATGTTTGACCAGCCAATAAATTAGCTAATGTTAGCTGCAAAGACATATTCACATAGCATTACTTAACTTTCTTTGTGAGTTTTGTAGTGATGGATGAAGTTGTAGTGTTTCGGTCACAGATTTTTGCACAGCAGACTTTGCATACTGCTGTTCTCTTACTACCATCATAAACAACATGATCCTTGAATCCAATTTTTAAACTATGTCCCTCCATGACAACTGCATCCTGCAGTTGGCTTCTGCTGGTCTGCTGCATTCTGGCAGATTGCCAGTTTTGCAAGCAACACATTAGAATTCACCCAATTGGGTCTCAAAAAGAGAAAAACAAAAAAACATCAGGATCTAGAAAAAGTGCTTATATTTAATTAAAAAAATTGAGTCATGTAAGTCAAAATTCAAGTCAAAGTCGTCTCTTTTACCAGTGTTAGTCAAGCAAGTCTCAAGTCCTCAAATTTGCCACTTAAGTCTAGCTTGAGTCAAGTCATGTGACTTGAATCCCCCACTTCTGCCAATTATGAAACAGTGAATCAAAATGATGACATGTCTTAATCATGGATTTCTAACTCATTAGTTTGAGTCAAAAGTACAAAATAACATAACTGACTTATGGCATTATTTGAATGTGGCAGCCCAAAGTTTGACATGAATATTTCTATTTTTGTCATTCTAACATTTCATCTATTTATCCTTCTGGTGCAGATCATCTTCCATAAAAATTTTGTGTGGACAACTTTTTTTTCCTGCAACAGATTCCATATAAACCTATATACAGTTCCCTGATTTTTACAACACAGGTCTTCTGGCTTTTCCCCACCTTGCTATTAGACATGATAACATGTTTTGCACAAACTTCCAATGCTGATGTCTGGAGACACGGCCAATTTGCTGCACAAAGCTTTAACCTGGAATCCAATGGGGCAGACAAGTGAGCAGTTAGGCAGCTAAACAAGAAATTACAGACAGGTCCATCCAATTTCCTAAAAGCCACTTAGAGAAGTAGAAAATGTAAATCAACACTTTATTAAATAAAACTACTCCACTTAATATCCAATTAAAATGTGGGAAACTTCTTTTTTTCCCTGTTCACCATCACTGGTTATAAACATCTTGGCATGTTAAGGGTTACACGGAGCTGGTGTTGCTTCTCCATCCAGGGTCAGTGTTTAGTGAGAACATAAATGTACATGAAGTGATCCAGGAGCACAAGACAACACTTCACTTCCCTATACTATCATGAGCACCTGAAATATATTTCAAACCATATCAAAGCTGCATTAATAAAAAATAAATCTGACTAATTCTAACCTAACTATTCTTTTTGGCTAGAACTGTATTAACTCAGTACTGTATTTAGGAGTTGTAGGAAGTGCTGGAAAATACTGCTCAGGCGAGCTTAGTTGATAGGAGTTATTAAACATACTGTATGTGACAGAGGCAGCTCTAGCTTTCATCCTCAGGTGATAAGCAACAAATTGCACACTAATTCATCAAAATTGGACACACTTGATTTAGCTGGATTTGTGCAGTGATATCCACTGTAGAAGCCCTCGGCCTTGAAAACCATTGCATCAGCTCTGTAGCAGTCCTAATGGATTCCACATGGGGAAGGGCAACAATCCACAGCAGTACAGTAATTAGGAAGGAGTGTGAAAGCTGTATAACATTTTGATTGGGGTTTGGTTTTGTTCACACAGGACACCAACTGATGTGTTGTGGGATGACCAATATTTGGACATCTAACTGTGAAAAGTGTTGAATTTCCAAACATGAATATTTGGAGACGGGGGGGGGGGGGGGGGGGGGCAACCGCCCGCGGTACACCCTGGACAGGTCGCCAATCCATCGCAGGGCTAACACATAAACGAACAACCACACGCGCGCACATGCACTCCTATGGGCAATTTAGAGACACCAATCAACCTAAGCTGCATGTCTTTGGACTGTGGGAGGAAGCCGGAGTACCCGGAGAGAACCCACGCAAGCACGGGGAGAACATGCAAACTCCACACAGAAAGGTCCCAGGTGGGGCCCGAACCCAGAACCTTCTCGCTGTGAGGCAACGGTGCTAACCACTGTGCCACCGTGCTGCCCTGTTTTTGAGACATTATTAGCCATATTATAATATGAAAACCACAGAAATGTGTTTTCTCTATTTATCTCTGCCAGTGGTTTGACTCATGTGTGCGTAGTCTTTAAGCAAACCCATGGGTTTTCTCCCTTTACCTCTCGAAATGTTAACATCTCTTTTACGGGGGTGTTTTGGCAGTGAATAGAGTTTGCCTAAGTGTAGGTAAAAGCTCCAGAAAAAGGGACTATAACATTTTTGGAGAAGGGCTTGTATTTGCTGTCTTTGCTAGTGTTAGATGAATAGATCAATGTCAGTTTCATTTTCAGTTCATCACTGAATCTACTGTATAATATACTGCATATAGGTGCTTCTGTGAGTATCTGATATAACAACTAGCCACCAACAGTATGTTTTTCCTGGCTGTGTTCTGTCAAATAACATTATGACATAGAAAGAAAAAACATAAGGTCAGGCCAGATGTGCTGCTCGTGTGAACACTGATACAGAGCTGCTGTGTGTCCTGTGTGTTCAAGCCCTTGAACTGAAAGCCACCAAATGTCTTTAAGGCTTCACTTTATGGTGAGTATGTGTATAGAAAAGTCTTGTGACAAGGCTGTACTGTGACATATTGCATAAACCACCATCATTGGCACTGCAGTATGGTGTTAAGAGTTAACCATGAAATTGAAATATTTTTGTTATCCACAGGTAGGATTGCAAAACACTGATTCCCTGCATGTGAGTCAGACTGACAGAAATCAGAGTGAAGAGGACGTAAGTGCAAGTCAACAAGTATATCAGAGAAAGCGTGTGTGCGTGTGTGTGTCACCAGCCCTCAGAAGGGAGTGTGTAGATGTGTGTATTGCTGCGATGGTGTGGAGGGGGTGGAGGAGGACGTATTGGGGGTGGGGCTGTTAGCCAGACGAGAAGAAGAGGTCGAGTCAGACAACTGCAGCTGCTCCAGCTTCTTCAAGTATTCATCTCTGAGGGCCAACAGCTCCTTGTAGCGCTGTTCCACTGGACTCTGCTGCTGGAAGACACAACACACACTTTCTTTACCAACAGTACAAATACACAGCCTCTAGTATATCTAAAAACACCACCATCAGTAGTAATTCATTAAGAAGAATATAACAATAATTTCAAGTTTGTTTTGATTTTATATCTCCACCCTCATTTGTTTGTTAAAAACCTTTACATTTTTAAATAAAAATGGGTAGTGTATTCTGATTAATATGGCATTTTGGTCACATGAAATAAAAAAAAAGAAAAAAGATTGGTAGGTTGCAACAATAAAATCCCCTATACTCTTTGAGCACTGCCTGACTGTATAATAATCCTTGCAAAAAAGTTCTTTGGACAGCAAGTTCACTATGATGAAAAATGGAATGACTATCACCAAATTTATATAATTAAACCTTTTAATTACATTACTTTTTCCTGAAAATATTGATGTTCTTGAAACCTTCCCCTACAGTGGCCCTTTTTGTCATTATCTTAATTAGACACAGACATGTCTATTTAATAAAATGGCTGTAAGAACGATTGGTAATTCCTCCTGAATTGCTTAATTTAAGTTATGGAGTTAACACGTACTTGTGCAAATTTTCTAAAATGGCACAGTTGTTCAGTCCCTCCATGATTGACTATGCTACAGTAAATGTGCAACCTTTACTTTCTGCAGTTTTTCTTCTCTCTCTGTCTCCGGTGTGATTTACATCACAGATTAGGGTGAAAAAATAAAAACTTGACTCTGGAGAGTGTAATTTTAAAAACTCTGATTTGACTTTGACAACAAAAAGCAGGCATTAATAAACAGAAAATTTTAAAAAAGCCAAACACTACAAAACACATTTCTAAATGAACCTGAATCAGGACAAATATCTATAGCAATTAACTTTGCCTTTTAATAAAATAAAATGAGTCTTGGTCTGCCCACATTCAACATAGTCACACACACACAAAAAAAAAAAGTAAAATTCAACAAAAAATGTCCTCCACACTCCTGAATTGCCTAGCTCTTTTGAAAAATGCAAATAGTTTGGTTTTGTTTCTAATATTAAGTGGTGGGAAGCAGCCTAAAGCTACAGTCTAGCATGTGAATTTTGTTAATTTTCGCATATTATGGATTCAGAGGTTAAGCCGCAATAAATTCTATCAAGACTCCATATTACTTAAAATTTGAAAAGGAATCTACTCACAGGCACAAACACACATACAGTGCTGTGAAAAACTATTTACCCCCTTCCTGGTTTCTTATTTTTTGCATATTTGTCACACTTCAATGTTTTAGATCATCAAACAAATTTCCATATTAGACAAAGATAACCCAAGTAAACACAAAATGCAGTTTTTAAGTGATGATTTTATTTATTAAGGGAAAAAAGCTATCTGAACCTACATGGTCCTAGGTGACATGGCCCCCTAAACCTAATAACTGGTTGTGCCATCCTCAGGTTGTGTTTTGGATCATTGTCCTGCTGCAGAACCCAAGTGCACTTTAGCTTGACGTCACAAACTGATGGCTGGACATTATCCTTTAGGATTTTTTGGTAGACAGCAGGTTTTTTTTTCCCCCAATTTTTTGGCGTGCGGTCCTGATTTTTCCTCTTTGTTATAGTGCTTTTGTTGTAACTGTAGTTTCATATTTTCCAGGCAAAAAAACCAAGCCTGTGTTATTCAAAATTAACAATAAGCCACCACAGTAAAGCAATTGTCATCTTAGCCTTGAGTTGAATCTGCAAGCTTTTTGAAGGAAACCAGCTCCAATTTTTGAATGCAAACTACAGAGTCCAAATTACTGCATTGCCAAACTGCATCACACCATCTAGTAAAAGTGAGGAAGTCTAGATCCACACGGCCTATACAACATCAAGCCAGACTGGGGAGAACCAACCAGAATAGACCCAAACTTCCAGTTGCCTGCCAACAGCCAGCCGTCTTCCAGTGGGCTTGACAGAGCAAAGACTCTGCATTCACCGAAGCAATGCGAACCAGTGCTGAGCGACAAACAGGCTTTGGGAGCCAGTAGGCTAAGCTGTCTCTATTCTGTCTGGCTCTGTGATTAAAAGCTCAATTTATTCAATATAATTTTTCCTAAATTTCAGCTGAATCTGTTCACAATAGACAAAAGAATTTTATTGGTTTTGGTCATTACCATTCCCATTCATCCCACAGATAGACATCTGTCACTGTATCATGTCTTTACATTTTGTCTCCATCACTTACAGGATATTCTCATCATTTCTTCAGTTAGATTAGTTAATAAAATTTACAAAAACCCAAGACCATGTTGTTTCACTCCCAAGATCAGCACTTTAATTGGTATTTAATCACTCATAATAATTAGCAGGATCAGGGCAGATGCCCAATTGACAATCCCACCCAAGTCACTGTATACAAATTATAAGAAACAGTGGTGGTCTTACCTGCTGTCGTATGCGTGGGTTCCAGCGGATGTAGTATGTTACCCATAGCTCTAGGTGACGCATACTGGCAACGGGATAGAGAACTCTACCAGACTCCGGGGTGTAGAAGGGGTTTAAATAAATGTCCATCTTACTGTTGACCAGCGACCAAAGAGACACCGTTTTCAACCTCACCTCCTGCCAGAAAGAGACCAGCTGTGTAATATTTGCAGCTGAAATACAGTGCAATGGTATACTTGCATGTATGTTGTAGGACAACTTAGATCAGGGTGTTTTATTTCCATGCAGTCTTACATTCAGGTCTCGTGCACTCTCACAGCTGTAGAGAAAAGTCCCAAAGCGACAGCTATACAGATGATCCAGGATTGTCAGCAGGAGGCGTTCATTAAACTCAAAGGCTGTAGGAAACTGAGAGGAGAGGATTACTGCAGCTCATTAATCTTGTCTGTCATTGTCTCTTTTAGAAGTTTCTTTTTACCAAAAGTGGTGTTTCATGTTTTATACTTCACATGAGCTACACTATGATGTGATTATACACACTAAGTTACAGTAGAAATTATTATTATTTTCTAACATTAATATGTGTTTACAAACTAATCAATGACTTTGTTTTACCCGGACTTTAAGCTGTTGTGCACACATGAACGAAAATAACCAATGAAGACCCCCACAATTTGTGCATCCAAGACTGACTTACTTTGGGCTAGTAATTGTGCTAACCCAATTTAATAGCCTGTAATGCTAATGAAATCTCAGTTTTTGATCATTATCATGTGATTTAAACTCCTTTGAAGTTACATTCCCACATGAACGCAGCTACATGATTCATATGTATTAATCTTACCTGTTTAGTCATCTGCCATACACAGTCAATGAACTGCACAAAGATGGGTGATCTGTCCTGATCTGCATGGTTCTTGTCACCGTGACCTATCCTCTACACATACACAGGAAGGCAAACGGTTTTTATAAGTCAGCTGGGCCATTTTTTGTTACAATGTTGCTGAACCATTTAAAAATTCCTTTAAAATATTTGACAGTATTTAGGCAAATACAGAGTCATTTCCATGCACTTACTGAGGCAAACTTGTGCCCAAAACTGATCCATTCCTTCTCAATCAGCACCTAAATCAGCACAAAAATGTTCATTAAATCAGGCTTAATTTAGAAGACAACCTTTAAACAAGTGACATTCTGTAACTTGTAACTACAGTAAAAATCACTGTATATTAAACCTTTGTGTACCCCACATTGGGTTCTAATTTAGCAACACAATAACAGTTTTCCTTGTTAGGTTGTTTCAGCTCCTGACCTGGAATCCTCTGAGTGTGCGATAGTGACTGTCCAGCATTAGCATGGCCAGAGATGTGAGCTGAGCTGTTCGGTCCCAACCGTCACTACAGTGAACCACCACTGAATTTCCACCAGAAACCTTGTCTGCTACTTGGATGGCTCCTGACAATACCAGCTACACAGACAAGGATATGACTTAGACAAGCTTTTTGATCTTTTAGAAACAAGTCATTAAAGGCTCAAATGAATAGATTAATCATTTTTACATGTGCAGAGAACATTTTTCTTACCTTAATATGTTCTAGCCAGTGTGTAGACTCTAGACTGGACAGCCAATGTGATTCCTCCACATTGGGGTAGACAATGTCCTTGAGTTTCTTCAGTGATTCCCTCATGACATGAATATTCTGGATGTCCAAGAAGACGAGCTCTGCGTTTTGGTACTCATCACCCTCGTAGCCACCTCCAGTGGCCTAGGAACAGTAAAGATGTTAAGTTCATTTCTACATATCAAATATTTGTCTCATTTACAGCAGTTATGTTCGTGGGTCAATTTGACCCGCAACATAACAGGAGGGTTATGATTAAAAAGAGAGAAGACAAAATAAAATGTTGATTTTCAGTTCTTACTCAGTAACTATATGGCCACCTAAAACAAGCATGTGTTGTCTTGTGGACAGCATTCATAACAATTTTCCCAATATGAACATCATAAGGCAAAAAAATGAACATCACATATAATATAATCCACTACTGTCACTAATGCTAACATGATTAATTGATAGTTTCATTCTGTTATGGACAAACTGACAATGCATACAAAATAAGTGAATAGTAAGCACCTTTCAGATACCCATTAAAATGCATCAGAAATCTTACTTTTGTAATTGTGATACTGAAGATATGATACTATTCTGATTCTCAAACTTGAAACGAATAACTGATGAGCTGGCAATAAAGCAGCACAAATGTGAACAAAAAAACAATAAGTAATGTGCTTGAAATGAAATGTAACAAAGAAAAATCAACAAAATACACTGAAATAAAATAGAAAATGTACTAAATTAGATGGGAAAAAACAGAATAAAAAAGTATAAATAATGGCCATAAAATACTCAATCAAAAGGAAAAAGGAGGGAGGTTCTTAAGCTCGAATCTCAAATCTTTGGCCAGACAGTCCAATGGGATCAAGAGCACAAAAACAAAAAAACTGCCTCACTTGTAGGTGGCGGGCCAACAGGAGAGTTTGTGCATTTAGATGATGTCTATCAATTGAAGACCCGATTTCTTGCTAATAGCTTCTACAGTTTTCAAAAAATGAAAACCAGCAGTACTTGTTGCCGGCAAGAAATCTGTAATTTCCAGTTACAGATGTACAGGAAATGTGTAAGTACTTGTTGCACATTTCCCTTACATGTGTAACTTCACCGACGGCACTTTTTCCAGCAAAACGAGCTGGCAGCTATTTGTTGGGTCTGATATGCGTGACATATTTGTAGTTATCACCCAATAGCATGCTTGGAAAAGTGCAGGCGTAAACACCAGAGGACAAACTGCTGGCACAAATATTTTCAAATCATCTTAAAGAAAGGCTCTCTTAAATAAGTTACTTTAAAATCACATAGTCCATGAAACAAAAACAGCTAGAGAAGAAAAGACATGTTAACATTCTCTCTACTTCGTTATTCAGCTTGATAAAACACAAGGTTTTATTATGCTGGGAGAGCACAGAGCAACAGTCCTGCAAAACTAACAAGAGATTGAGACTGTACAGGAGTTGCAAATTAACCTACCGAAGCCTGCTTTCTAAGCATTTGGGAGATTAAAATTTACTCATGTCTACATTCTAGTGGATTTTATCAAAAATGTAGGGTCTTTTTAAGAAGTGAACGCTAAGGTGTCTTCTCTGCCAAAAAACTAAATTTGATGGGTATATTATGTAATGTACCAGTGATACCAGAATATGGCAATAAGTCCATATTAAGCTATTCAAAACCTGATTTGTCAGTTTATTCATTGTTGGACAGTAATGCCAGTGCTGTGTTTTTTATATACATTTACAGCAGTTATGTTCGTGGGTCAATTGCTTGTGGACAGCATTCATAACAATCTACTTCGTTATTCAGAGGACGCAGGGACTCTAGAGGTTAATGTTATACGAAGGACATGTTGAAGGACATCGTAGACCCCCTGCAGTTCACCTACTGGGCACTGTATTACATCCTGAAACACCTCGACTGCCCAGGGACCTATGCACGGGCCCTCTTTGTGGACTTCAGCTCAGCATTCAACACCATCATCCCAGACATCCTCCACTCTAAATTGACCCAGCTCACTGTGCCTGCCCCCACCTGTCAGTGGATTACTAGCTTTCTGACAGACAGGAAGCAACAGGTAAGGCTGGGGAAAACCACATCCAGCACCCAGACAATAAGCACAGGCGCCCCCTAGGAATGTGTGCTCTCCCCTGTGCTGTTTTCACTCTACACCAACAACTGCATCTCGAAGGACCCCTCTGTCAATGTCAAGCTCCTAAAATTTGCTGATGACATAACGGTCATTGATCTCATCAGAGTCAGTGACGAGTCACCCTATAGACGTGTAGCCGCAACAACCTGGAGCTGAACACACTCAAAACAGTGGAGATGACAGTGGACTTCAGGAAGAGCCCCCCCACCTTACTCCCCCTCGTCATACTTGGCAGCACTGTATCAGCAGTAAAGTCCTACAAGTTCCTGGGCCCCACTGTCTCCCAGGACCTGAAGTGGACGTCCAACATCAGGACCATCATCAAGAAGGCACAGCAAAGGATGTACTTCCTGCACCAGCTCAGGACGTTCAACCTGCCCCAGGAGCTACTGATACAGTTCTACAGAGGAATCATCAAGTCTGTTCTCTGCACCTCCATCACTGTCTGGTTTGGCTCAGCTACCAAACAGGACAAGTACAGACTGCAGTGGACAGTCAGGTCTGCAGAAAGATTTTCGGTGCCAGCCTGGAAGACTACGTGTCAAAAGGAAGGCGGAGAAGATTTCTGCAGACCCTTCACACCCTGGATACAATCTGTTGCAGGTCCCTGTGCGCCAAGACAACCAGGCACAAAGACAGTTTCTTCCCCCGAGCCATCACTCTGATCAGCACTTAACCCATGACAGTATGACTGGACAATAACCCTCAGTGCAATACCGGTAAATATACATTGTACAGATTATAGAGATTCGTACTGGCCTCTATTTTTATCTAATCTCCTGATGAACATTCCTTTGTCTGTTTGCATTGTTTATTGCTTGTTTATAGTGTTTATTTTGTTATACTACACAGCCTTATGTTGGTATACTGTTGCCCCTTGCTGTTGCCTTGTATGAAGATATGTACATACACATTGAGAGCCGCTGTACCAGAGTCAAATTCCTTGTGTTCCACACACGGCCAATAAAGCTGATTCTGAAACTTCTGCATTACTGTTTTTGTAGTTATAAATACTTACTGCAGATGGGAAAAGATTGCATGAAGTACATAACTACTGTAACACCCTCTGGGAAGAAGACTTGCCATAACGCGTTTCCTTTCCTTTTCCTCGATATTCAACAAGACATCACAATGAGAAGTGAAATTTATAGAAAATTTATTATACATTTTTTGTGCATAGCACCTCTCTGAAAATGTTCAACAGTAAAAAGTGGCCCTGGTGATTTGCAAATGTTTCAGTGTTTTAAAATGTAAACATCTTTTCCATTCCAACAGCTTCTGTTGAGTTAACATTATAACCTCCTCCCTCAAGATGTCCTTGAGCTGTAGAGACAACATAAAGTAGGGAGTTGTAAATAAGCTATACTGAAAGAAATGTGTATTTTAAATTTATTTTAAAAAATCTTATGGTTCCTGGTTAACAATAGTTACACAACAAGGGCTTTATTAACAAAATGTGACAAAAACAAATAAATAAGCAAAATAATGCATGATGCACATTTATCCTCACATTTGTGACCGTCTTGCAGCCCCGGTGGCTGCTAGAGGGCCACCAAGAGTGTTTGAAATGTTCCAAATGCAGTCTGTCAGACCCTAACATTTGGCTGCATAGAAAAATCAGCAATAAAGTAACGTTCCAAAAAAAGGACATCTTAAGCACAGAAAAGAACAAAGAAGAAAACAGGATGAGAAATATACATCAAGGCAAAGGTATGTTTGCATTAGTAATTATTAAATACAGTCATGTGAAAAAATTAGGACACCCTTTGAAAGCATGTGTATTTTGTAACATGTTTTAATATATGGTTATTTAATCTCAATTTTAACAATACAGAGAGATTAAAGTAATACAACTAAACAAGTAAAACTGAAGAAAAGTCTTTTCAAGATCTTCTGTAAATGTAATTCTACAAAAATGCCTATTCCAACTGAGGAAAAAGTTAGCACACCCTCACATGTATGCCCTCTTAAAATGGCTCAAATCACACACAGGTATATCACACCAGGTGCACATAATTAGTAGATCGTTACTCAGCATTTTGAATGAGGCTTGCCCCATCTAAACCTCAAACATTTAGTTTGGTGTGCTCCTGACTGTTGAAGTGAGAGTGAGCACCATGGTGAGAGCAAAAGAGCTGTCAGAGGCCTTCAGAAAAAACATTGTAGCAGCCTATGAGTCTGGTAAAGGATTTAAAAAGATCTCAAAAGATTTTGAAATCAGCCATTCCACTGTCCGGAAGATAGTCTACAAGTGGAGGGCTTTCAAAACAACTGCCAACATGCCCAGGTCTGGTCGCCCCAGCAAGTTCACCCCAAGAGCAGACCGCGAGATGCTAAAAGAGGTCTCCAAAAACCCTAAAATGTCATCTCGAGACCTACAGCAGGCTCTGGCTACTGTTGATGTAGAAGTGCATGCCTCTACAATCAGAAAGAGACTGCACAAGTTTAACTTGCATGGGAGGCGTGCAAGGAGGAAACCTTTGCTCTCTAAGAGAAACATCAAGGCCAGACTGACATTTGCCAGAGAGAATGTTGACAAAGACCAGGACTTCTGGAATAATGTTCTTTGGACAGATGAGTCCAAAATTGAATTATTTGGACACCAGAGCAGAGGACATGTTTGGCGTAAACCAAACACAGCATTCCAGGAAAAGAACCTCATACCAACTGTGAAGCATGGAGGTGGAAGTGTCATGGTTTGGGGCTGCTTTGCTGCAGCAGGACCTGGTCAGCTCACCATCATAGAATCCACCATGAATTCTACTGTGTATCAGAAGGTGCTTGAAGAACATGTGAGACCATCGGTTAGAAAATTAAAGCTGACAGTAAATCAACCGAAGACTGGCTGGAAAAGAAGAAATGGAGAGTCCTGGAATGGCCGAGTCAAAGTCCAGACCTGAATCCCATTGAGATGCTGTGGGGTGACTTGAAAAGGGCTGTACATGCAAGAAACCCCTCAAACATCTCACAGCTGAAACAATTCTACATTGAGGAGTGGGGTAAAATTCCCTCAGACCGATGTCAGAGACTGGTAGATGGCTACAAGAACCGTCTCACTGCAGTTATTTCAGCCAAAGGAGGTAACACTAGCTATTAGGGGCTAGGGTGTGCTATCTTTTTCCTCAGTTAGAATAGGCATTTTTGTAGAATTACATTTACAGAAGATCTTGAAAAGACTTTTCTTCAGTTTTACTTGTTTAGTTGTATTACTTTAATCTCTCTGTATTGTTAAAATTGAGATTAAATAACCATATATTAAAACATGTTACAAAATACACATGCTTTCAAAGGGTGTCCTAATTTTTTCACATGACTGTAGCTTTTAACACCACAAATTTGATGTGTGATTAATGCACACACATTCTGTGAATATGATCCTTGTGCCACCTCATAGTTTGGGAAATCATGAAAGAGCAGAAATGATATAAAGAAAAGGGTCTTCTGACTGGCAAGTTCAGCTTCAAAGCCCGGCCAGATGGATCTCTAGACAAGACCAAACATATTTGCATTTACTGTCAACCAGAGTTTGTCGAGTCTCAAATACCACTTGCTGTCCAAGCACACAACTGATTCAGAGAGCCCTCCTCCCCCTTGCCAAAGGCAGACCATGCTGGATAGTTCGCAAAGGAGACGCCTGGACAACTCTACAAGCAACAAACCTTCAACAGTGATAGTTAAATGGGTGGATACAGCTTGCAGGCCGATCACGTATGAATTGTCATCAAGAGCCACCACTGTAACCAAGATACACAACATGTATGAAGACAAGAAAGCTAAAGTGGAGGAGGCGTTGGGACACACAAACACGGCTGCACTCATGAGAGGCTGGACTTCACTCAGTAATCACAGTTACCTCGGGCTCCCTTTAAGGTAAATTTAGAACCAGTGGTGAAAGAAGTACTCAGATCCTATACTTAAGTAAATGTAGCAAAACAGAAGGTAAAAATACTCTGCTACAAGGAAAAGTCCTGCATTAAAAATGTTACTTAAGAAAAAAGTATTAGCATCAAAACATACTTAAAGTGCTAACAGTAAAAATACTCATTGTGCAGAATGCCACATTTTACATTCCTGTATATCATATTATTGTATTATAATTACCGCTGCATTATTGTGTACATCACATTCAATGTTACAACTAGTAAGGGAGAGGGTAGCTTTAAATAGCTTATATGCATTTAATTTGAATTACTGCTGGGTAGCTTGTGAATTTTTCACTATAGATCAACAAGGTCATAATTATACTGTATTTTTTTTGTTAATCTGGTTAGGAAAATTAACTAGTAACTACAGTTATAAAATAAGTAGCGGTGTAAAAAAGTACAATATTTACTTCTAAAATGTAGTGAAGTCAAACTAGAAAGTAACAGAAAAGCAAAATACTCAAGTATAGATACCACAAAACTGTACTTAAGTACTTAGTTACTTTTCACTACTGTTTAGAACAGATAAAGAAACAATTTTGCAATTAATTTGTGATTAATGGCCATTAAATAGTTTTGACTAATTGTCTTGTTTATTTTGTTACTTTTCAGTACAGGCGATATATTTTGCATCCATCAAAAAATGCGTTTGTCTTATATTGTACTAGGTCACTCTTGTTAATCGCATATTAATTGTTGCTTACTAATGATTTTAAAGGAAACTACATATTTCCTATACTGATTTACTTAAAACTAAACCATTCATGTACAACAATAGACAAACCAGTTTTTCCCACAGAATTTGTCTACTCGTGACAATAGAATTAGTCTATTTTTTCCCCTAGTTATATATATTGTAATAGTATAATGCATCTGTGCTTGCTGTTGTGCTGTTCAACTGACCTGTCCCATCTACACTAGCTGGCTATCCCACAGCAGCAGCAGCACAGAGTCCTGCACTGGCCCAACTTTGAAAATCCACACACTTCATATTCCATATCAAACCCGACCCCTTATCTAGAGTTATTTCTAAATGAGATCTGGACACGATCCAATACATTAACAAAAGACCTGTGACCCGATCCATATTGATAATTAGAATAAACTTTAAGCTACACGGTCACTTACTTTAAAGTTCTTGAGAGTTGTGTTCTTGGAAAAGTATCTGTCAATGGACACAGCACCTGGGCTCTACAGCTGTTCCCTTAGTGAGGAAGTGCCTAGCTTGCAGCTATTAAACGCTAACACTCCTTTGTACTATTCACAAGTAGTGAAGCCAATGATAACGCAGTTCTCACTGTCTGTAACCACACCAAATTTCTCCCATACATCTGACTTGGCCTTCAATGATATATTGTCCACAATTCTGTAATCAACACTAGCTATTTTCACTTTTAGGTTATCCAGTTTGACACACTGACACCTAGCCTACATTGATGTCTGAGTGGCATCCTATTGGCTGGATGTGAGTTGAGAAGTCAAAGGTTGTGTTATAGGCCTTCACAATAAATGTATCAATTATTTAGGCTTGATAAAATTATGCTGGATTAAACACTTAAAAGGAACTTTACCTTTATAAATTACTTCACTCACTACCTACCTGCAGTTAGTCTATTTTTACCCATTCCTGCACCCGTGAATTAATATAAACTTTTTTCTTTTTTTTTTTTTTTTTTAAAGCTGTTACACATCATTTTTGCCAACCTGGTGCAGGACTATTCAGCAGCATTCTAGCTGCTGTCCTCCTCCTCTCGTACCTCTCTCTTTTCAGCTATCTCTTCCTGAACCTCTCTTGCAGCTACAGTAGCACTGGCTGAAGCCAGAAAATATTAAAAATGAATCAAGTGGAGTGCTACTCACACTGGTTGGACTGATCAGTGTTCCCACATTTTTCAATATTCCCCTGGACTGAGGGAGCAAACATTCAGCTTCAGTTTAAGAATTAGCATTAATCTAATCCACCTGCAGAGCAGTCCATATACATTCATGCTATGTACAGGGTGCTAACCTCGGCAACAGCTGTATTCTAATGAGACAGCTTAGCCAGCTTTACTAGCTTGCTAAAGTAATAAAACATTAAAAAAGTTGGATCTCCATGATTGACAGCGTTGTGTTAAAAAGCAAACACACACAGACATGAGAAGCTGTTCAGCGGGTCCATTGTCGTGTGTTTGTTAATGGGAGAGAAAGAATTTAAGAGTGTGGCACAGAGGGGCTGAGTGAATGTATGCCTACATTGAAACCTCACTCATTTTTAACTTCTACCATGCATTTTAGGCAGTTATGCTAGCTTAACTTGAGCAATCATCATGTACATGCTGTGTGCACTCTCGATATGCACAGGAAGAAGTCTATCCAACTATATACCCTGGATGTGACTTATTTATAATTTTTTTGGGAAGCCTGGACAATGAGAGTATTATAATAGCCTGGTCTGCTGGTCTTTATTCATAGCCCTAATTCTCACATTTTTAAAAGGGAAACCATCACACCGTAATACCTGAACCACTGCAGAACTATGATGTCTTGTATGCTAAAGGTTTAAGCCTAGTCAAGAGTTAAGATTCACAGTCACAACACAGTCTGTGTCTGTTGGCATTTGTTACTTTTCCTTTGTCTCCTTATCACTGCTAGCTCCTATTTCAAACAGATGTACACTGACAAGAGTTATACATGAGATGGTAATAGCTGTGCATCCTCCTGTGTCTGTCAAATCAACCCTCTGACCACTGACAGTACTTGCTTTCTGTTCTGACCTTGTTGGCCACTGCGTTGACGTTGGGCCTAGCATCATATATGGTGAGCTTGGGGGTGTTGTTTGCTTCCCTGATCAGGTCCAGGTAACGCTCATCATCCTTGTTTCTTTTACCAGACATGCCAACCAGTGGCTGGCTGCAGCGAATGATCACTGCCTGGTTCTCCCTGTGGATCCATGATAAAACCTAAGGCACAAAGACAGACAGTACTATAGGACATGGAGTCACAGTCAGGTAGCTTTTAACAACAACAAAGTCTTACAGGGAGACAGCTGTGAAAGACTCAATAAAAGCACACTGCAAAAAAGCCTAACTGGGATGGGCACTAGGGCATTTTGATGAAGCCACAGCTCATGATTATTACTGGCTTGATATACGTCACATTTCACCAGGCCATAACGTACCTAATTTAAAAGCTAATAAGTGGACCTCAAGTTAATTCTTTTTTCAGTCAAACTCACACAGTCCTCCTCCCCTCCCCTCACTCTCCATGCATTTATATGCCAGCATTACATGTAATTAACTTTGCGTCCCCTCCCTCCCTCCATCCCTCCCTCCCTCCATGTAGACCTGGCTCTGAAGCTGTACGTTTCTAATGAGCAGTCACCGGCCACATCTACCTGCCCTGAGATGATTTTTGTTGTAAATTGGCGCTATACAAATAAAATTTAACTGAATTCTCTACTCATGCATAATATGCTGCCTTTTTATATAGATAAGCAATGTACTCACCGGTATGCGTCCTCTTGACCTGAAGGCAGCCACCCTTCTGAGGTCCTCCTCTTTACTTTTAAAGGGTACAGCCAAAACAGTTGGGTAGGTGTCACAAAGTTCATAGCTCCTATTGATGAATGTAATACGCCACTTGTTATTGGGTAAACCCTACAAAAGAAAATAGTCACCATGAGATACTGACTAAAAGAGTGTAATGCTCCTTTTGTAAGACCATTTAAAATCTATTCCCGTCTACCAACAGTTTGTGCTTCAAGTTCTATTTACACAACACACCTAAATGACATAATTATTTACAGCAGTAGCAATAAGAGTACTGGTAAGTGTTTGTATCAGGAAGCAGCAGGACTTCCTTACCTGTCGTCTAAACTCCTCTATGGGTTTGTAGACATTCCAGCCATCCTCCTCATACTTTTCCTGATTCACAAATGCAAACAAAGGCTGGATAGAGGGAAGAGAGGAAGAGTTTTAATTTAAACGATACAATAATATTATAGCAGCGGCACATGCACACATGCACGTGTTCACACACACACACACACACACACACACACACGTTAGTTTTCATGCCTTGCAGGAATTTTACAGTGACTAACTTACATTTCCTGGAGACCTTAACCTTGACCCTTATACCTAACTTAACGGATGTTGCTGAATCTGCATGGTAATTCTTTGAACATGCATTTGTTAGTATTTTAGACAAGCACACACCTTTTCAAAAATCTGAAATAAAGAGCCAAAATAATCCATGGTTAACTGCTGAGCTGTCTAACATACTGTACTGTATGAACAGAGATGAGAAAAGTGTTTAAAGTGTGTAGTGAGGGGTTTTACAGCCTTAAAACATCTATAATAATTCTAAAAAATAAAGCTGACTACTTCGCGGATTTCGCCTATTGCGGGTTATTTTTAGAATGCAACTCCCGCGATTAACGAGGGACCACTTTACTGCTGTTTGCAATTTCCTAGTTTTATGCATATCCTGGTCATGAAATGTGATCTGGGCTCATTTCCAACTGGCTGACTGTTGTTAATGGAGTGCCACAAGGTTCGGTGCTTAGCCCCTTTTTATTTTCTCTTTATATTAATAATATGGGGGTTAACATTGATTGACAGAATCCATATTCATTATTATGCAGATGACAGTGTCTTTTGTCTGCAGTCTTGCCAGGAGTCCCTTGTGAAAGAGGTTGTATCAATGAGTCTGAGGCCATGCTGCTTTGCTGCAGTGGCCTGCTCCCTCTGGGTTGGAAGTGAGTTGCTGCCCCAAGCGAAAGAGTTTAAGTATCTTGGGGCCTTGTTCACAAGTGGGGGTAAAATTGAGCCCAAGACTGGCATGGCAGCAGTAATGCAGGTGCTGTACCAGACCGTTGTGTTGAAGAAGGAGCTGAGCCGAAAGGCAAAGTTCTTAATTTACCAGTGTAATATGCTCCAACCCTCATCTATGGTCACAAGCTGTGGGTAGTGAAATGAGCCTGTGATTAGTGGTCAACCTATTAAATGGTCAGCTGATTAATCAGGCCAATTCTTGGCATTTTTAGGTGATCGGCATTGTCTGATGACTGTACTCTAACTGGCCGATGTGTCTGCGGACACGTGTGTACTACCACTGTGTTCAGTGCAAATATTTACAAATTATTGTTGTGTCTCAAGAAAAAGCAACTGTTAAGTAGACTAAAACAGGGCTCCAGCCTGTGAATGATCAATTGCATTTTGCAACCAAATTTAAGGTGCAACTGACTTTTTTTCTTCCAAAGGTTGCACTAGGTGCAACTGCAAAATAAACAGGTTATGCACAAACGACTGCTCTCACTGTATAAATGATGGACAGATGTAACAATCTTCACAATACTATAAGCTGACAGACAGCTGTTCTGATCAGAGACACTGCTAGGAGGTTGGGGTTGATGTGCATCGAACGGATCAAACACGTCACTCGCGTCTAGTGAAGTACCAGTTCGAAGTTAGTAGCCCTGAAACCCACCATCAAGTCCTTCTTTAAGTAGTAGGCTACTAGTAACTTTAGCCAAGGGAGTGAGAGAGCAGTGCATGAATTCCAACACAGACATCACCAAAGAGCATAAATTCTCCTTCAGAAATAAAAAGATCTACAACAAAATGTTAAACTCTGTTTTCATGGTTTCTACTGGCCACTACCAGAGTCCTAGTAAGGCTTTCTTTAAGGCAGATTTTAATCATGCACAAATATTAGCCAGGCAAACGGAGCTGTGGTGTGGGCGGGTAGCTGTGTATCATAATGTGTGGGGGAATACATCTCCGCATTTCAAAATTTGCTGGAATATTCGGGTTTGAAATAAAATGAGGACTCCTCCAAGCTGAAAAATGTCCTCTCACACACAGTACTGGGTGGATATAAATGTTTTTTGCAGCTATAAATACACATAGTACAATAGTGTTCATGATTCAACAAATTTTCACAACAAAGGCAGTGAGAAACATAGCATTTAAAAAGCACACCCTATACATAATGGTCATTGTGCTCTATATTGAGCAATAGTGTGTCCAACCATTTTGGACCCAATATCTGAGGAAATCAGGCTACAACTGTATCATCTGAATTTCCAGTGCAGTGCCAGCTAAAGATGCCAGATAAAGTCCACCTTTTCCAGATACAAGAAAAGAACAGTCAGTCAGTAGATGGCAGTATAAATCAGCTGACTTACCAGACCATGTGAGATGGGGAAGGCATATCTGAAGAGGAGCTCAAAGATATCTCGTCTGCTGTGGCCTTCCTGCTTCAAGGCAAACCTCAAGTTCCTCATATCCTAACAACAGACACCAACATCTTTACTATCAACACCCACACACCATTTGTTTCATGCAAGACATTATTTCAAAACAGAGAAGAGAAAATGTGACTGATCCTGATGCATGATTTTTCAGTGACTTTAATTGAAACTCAGCATAAAAGTCTACTCTGCTGATTTAGCATTGCACTCCTTTCATATACAGTATGTAGCAGTGCATATTCCAACTCCTGGAAAAAAACTTTGAATACTGCTGGAGTTTTCTTTTAATGTACTGGCTATAAGCTACTATTGCATTTGGCGTTAATACATTCTACTATTCATTCAGTTGTCAGGTGGGTCCACCTAATTAAATCTACACTCACCACCACTATCTGGTACATATGTACAATTGTATGCACTTAAATGCAACACTTTCACCTCAACATCTATGGTTACGAAGCTTAAAATGTTAAAGTTTTTGGTGAAATTGTCATGAATGTATAAATTCAATGATATGTTCATTATTAAGGTCATAGTTAAAGGTGGTGGACTGGACTAAATTATATTCAGAGGCGTCTATAATTTTGTCCTCCCCAGCTACATACATGAGAGGGTCATAATATTATATATAACAGAAGGTTCTGGCACAACTTCACCCACTGTCAAGGTGCACAGACAAGGAAAAAAACAAACTGGAAAGCAAAATGTCCTCCCTGATGAAGGTTTCATGTCAAAAAGTGTTGGTCTTTTTATTAAAGTTGATCAAAATACTGCAAGTGTTGCTGGATTTTTTGCTTTCCAGGGTCAGAATATTAGGAACACATCTGAATATAATGTAGTAGGAGTTAAATCTTATGCAAGTTTGGGTGGCTATGGCTCAGGAGTTAGACCAGGTTGTCCCCTAACCGTAGGGTTGGCAGTTCAATCCCAGGCTTCTCCAGTCCACATGTCGAAATGCCCTTGAGCAATACACTTAACCTCATGTTGCTCCTTGTGATCTCAAACATTTGTGTATTCGTGTGTGTGTGAACAGCAAATTGTGTAAAGTTCTTTGAGTGCACCTCAGTGCATAGAAAAGTGTTATGTCCATTTACAGATGTTCTGTAATTTCACATTCATTTTTCCTTCATAATGGTGATAATGTTCAGTTTGTGATCAAAGTGTTTCAGTGAAGTGTGGATTCAAATGTATAACTTTGACAGATGTAGTTTGTGCTGTCATTGAACAGCAAGGTGTTTCTGTTATTTAGTCTAGCCTCACTGATATAAATAGGGTGGACAAGATAAACACCTGCAAGTATGACAGTGATCCCAAACACACTGGAAATGACACAAGAATAGGGGAACATTAGTTAAAACGGCAACCAGGACTGCACGTCTATTTTGATCTTCATCATAGGATTAGTGCTATCCTCATAAATTCTGGCCAACAACACATTCACTCTGGCATGACTTAGACATCGTAATCCTACCGTGAATACAGCAAATCACAGCTTTTGCGGTTTGAAAATCATGATCTGTTAAATCGCAATTTCAGTTTGAAAAAGATTAACCGTTCAGCCCTACAAGAATGAATATTCCATGTATTCTATGACTTATTTCCATGGGCAAATAATTCCGTAAGTGAGTTATGTACAGTAATTTTTTATAATTCCCTCTTTAAACTCTTTGAGCATCACAAATCCCTACATTATTTTGGTGTATCATGCAGACATTTGATGAAACTTTGAGAAAAATAGAGAATCCTAAGAGCTGATTATAGCATATGCATTGTTTAATGTTCCAGTGCACTTGTCAAAATCAGTACACAAGACCTTTTAAAGGTTTGTAATTACTTGACATTTTAGTGATATTGACTGGTGTGTACTCGGAAATAATAATAAAACACCCTCTTTGTTATACACACACCTTGCAGGTAATATCCAGGCCATAGGAGTTTTCTCCTCTGCTTGATGCCCCACCCATCTTCTCCACCCGACTGATGGCACCCAAAGGAACATCCAGTGTTACTGCAACATGCTACAAAACAGAGCCAGCATGTTATTATGCTCACATCACAATACTACAATACTCTGTGTGACTGCATTTTCTGAATGTTTTGGTGTTAACTATGACAAATATTTTTAATATTAACAATGGAACACACGACTACTTGTACTGTATGTGAAAATTGTCACTCATGAAGATGAACCCACAAAGAGAGATATTTTTGTGATATGGTGCAGACCAAAACTGAAGAGTGATGATAATTGCAAGTAGATTAGTTGATGTCTTCCAAATGTCAAATGCATACATGTAATAATAAGCCACTGACAGGCCCACATTAGCTTAAAGGGACTTACAGCATCTGAGCTCTTGAAGTAGAGTCTGTAGTTGGTGATCACCACTTTGCCTTTCACAGCTCCATTGAATGGACACATATAGCTGATGTCTTTATCTTAAAACAGACAGAAATATTACTTGCTCATTTTTCTCCTTACGCAAGCTTTATTGGCTCAGAATATGTTCCTCTCTTCACACTACTGAACAAGTTAAATTGCAATAGGCGGCGGCCGCTCTGGCAGCAGCCATGCCAGGGGCTGGAGGGGCCAAATCTGAAGCCAGAGGCAACGGCCCTCTGCCTGGAGGAGGAGGGCTCATGGAGGAGATGAGTGCCCTGTTAGCAAGGAGGTAGCGACACATCATATATTACTCTTCGATTCAGTACGTCTCAAAATAGGCACTTGAGTCATATGAATGAATTTCAGATCTTGTTTCATATACTACAGAAAAGTGAAACTTGACACAGTTGCCATACAGTAGATTTAGCAAACCCCAATGTTGGTCGCAATGGATTTTGTTGTGCCACCTGAAGAATAAGTTCATGTACTCATCACTCTCACTATTCCTCAGTATTATGAGATGATATGTAGTAAAATCGTAATTTAAATGCACTTTGTTGCTGACAGAGAAGTATCACTGTAAGATCTAGAGAAATCTAAGGAATTTAGGTTTTAAAAATGTGGAGTTCAGGAGGAATTGTGTGGTCTGTGCTTTATGATATTAACATTAAACATGATGATATGTTTTTAAAAATAGCAACTGTTTTTCAGAAATAATTCTGGACTCTGTCTTACAGGAGAAGAATTGCAGAGAAGGGCTCATCACCTGAACCTGACCAGAGATCAGTAAGTACCATTAGATCCTTCTTGTCTGCTGTATTCATGGGGTAGGACTGGATAAGTCTGACTTCTTCCTACTCCATTCAAGCATGTACTAGGTATAAGCAAATTGATATTGGATTAGCATTTGTTGGATATGTGTAAAATTATGTGTGTTGACATATCAACTGTCTTTACATGCTTGAAAGAATAAATCAAATCAAGTTCAGACCTCATTTCTAACATTGATAAGCAGTGAATAGGGGGACAGAGCCTTTGCTGTGGTAGGTCCAAACCTATGGATTGCCTTGCCGCTTTATATTAGGCAGGCCCCCTCACTGTCCACTTTTAAGTCTTATTTGAAGACCTACTTCTAGTCATTGGCGTTTGACCAGGAATGACACTCTGTCCGTAGTGTTAGTGTTTATATTACTGTCTATAGCTTTTTATGTGTTGTTTTTATATCTGTATGATATGTTAAGTGCTTTGGTCAGCTGTGCTGTGGTAAAGCGCTATATAAATAAAGTTTTGAGTTGAGTTGAATACTGTAGCAAAAGAAGTCACCATACATGTCAAGAAGGGGAAGTGCAGCAGGCTATAAATAACATCTACTCTCAGTGTAGAGACTAGAGGCGAAATGGTTCAAATAAAAAAATCCAACCTGTTTGGTTCGCTAATCATGGTTTGGGGCCTGTATGCATTATTCAGTCCTTATGAAATAGGATGAAGAACTGACAGAAAAAATAAGAAACTGCTGAGGGGGAAAAAAAGCCTCATGTCAATAACCCAATGAAACTTAGTTGACATGAATAAAGGGTCAAGCTCAACTGTCAGTCAGTCTTGAAAATGGCAAGCGGACAAGACAGCTGCTATGGATTTAAAGCATTTTGTACATAGCCGCAGGTGTCCACGTTGTAACATGAGATATTTCGACAGCTAGATCGATCGCCTGTAAATTGAAAGCTGCATCATATGCATTTCGTCGTGTGTTGTACATGACGAGGGTGTGGGCATGAAGTGAGAAAAGTAGCGGCTTATAGCCTGGAAAGTACGGTACTGAGATTTACATACTGAAAGCAAGATGTGAGAAGTATGTTCAGGTCAACAGAACAGCATGGACGAACTGTCGTCACCACACTGACCACCAGCAATAATATAAATGAGCCAGAGGGGAAAAAATTAGACCTGAAGCTTTAAAAAACGCAGTGGGTCCAGGGACATGCACTATCAGTTGATGCATTTGATGTAATGGAATTCTCTATGTTCCATGACGTGCATAAGAAAGTGATGGATAAAACATTAACTCAATGTCCAGGGTACATCGGTACCAAGTGAGGGATTTTTCTCTAGTATTAATAAAAATAATAATCACCTTTATTTGGCCAAGTATGTTACACACAAGGAATTTGTTTCCGGTACAGAACCGAGGCAGCCATCTGAGGTGCCAACTCAACCGATGGCTCTAACCATCAGGGGCAACTTGAGGGTTTAGTGTCTTGCCCAAGGACACTTCAACAAGTAGACTGCAGGCACTGAGATTCAAACCTCCAACCCTCCGGTTGGAGGTGACCGCTCTACCCACTGAACCACAGTTGCCCCCAAAGTAGTATATAGTAGTAGTAGTAGATCTCGTCTTGCGCCCAAGAGTGTGAACAAACTCATCATCTTGTAGAAGAACATAAAAATAGAATGAACAAAGTAGTGTTATGTTGAAACTGTTTACAGTGTGCATATAGGATAAGATGCACTTTGTGTTGACAATGAAGAAGTGTCTATGTTTCTTATATTCTTAGCCAGAATTTTAAGGCACTTGTATTTTTTGCCAAATAAATAAAAAAAGCATGTTGAAATTGGCAGTGTGCTCCCCCTGCTTTACTAAAACAGAAACAAACCAAAAACCATAAACCCAAAACCTTGATATGAACCAGACAGTAAATTTTGTCAAATGTTCCACTCCTAGTAGAGACTAATATGTACAGACTCAGTCAACTCATACAGTGGCTTCAGAAAATATTCAAACCCCTTCCCAGTAACCTAGAATGAAAGCATCTATAGAAATTTTTGCAAATTTACTAAAATCTAGAACTTTAAACTCTCAGTTAAAAACAGGTATTCAGACCCTTTGGTGTGGCACTCAAATTGGTCCGATGCATATTGTTTACTTTATTTATCCTTGAGACATGTCTACAATTTGAGCGGTAAATTGCAACAAATTGTGTTGACTGGACAAATTCTAGAAAAGGCACACACCTGTGTATATAAGGTCCCAGAATTCACACTGTATGTCAGGACAAAAACCAAGACAAGCAACTATATGTAGACCTCCAAGACACAAATGTTGCAAGGCAAGTGGGCGATAAACAATATATACACTCATTGCTATATAAAAAATACATGATAAGAAAATGACAAATTTAAAAAAACTGCCACCCTACCACATCACAGGAAAGGAGGCAATTCTAAGCAATCGCGCGATAGGTTTTTTTCTAAGAATGGACAAATGAACATCTACAAAACACAGCAAGTTTGGTTGAGTTAGCAGAGCACAGCATGCACCACATCTATTGTTGTAGTAAAGTTACTACATGCAAGTCACAGAGAGCTCTTTGTACAGAGCCGGATCTTATAGCTCTGTGTCTTTCATAGCATTCAGCTTTCTTTTTTAAAACATGTCTGTGATGTAATTAACTGCTGAAAGTGCATCCAGTTTGAGGTCTGTGGGTCTGTCAGTATGACTGAGGACAGGGTTCAGCTACGCAGCGGCAGCACTTTTACTCACTAGTGCTCTATTCTCACAGCCACGGTGATCTTCTCAGTGCATTTCAGTATGGTGTATGACAATGGTGTATAATGGCAATAAATAAATCCCTACAAATAATGGGAATCCAGAAATGCTAAGTCATTTTGTCCTATAATTTAACTTCTTTTTTGATTTGTGGCTAAATAAATTTAAGTAGAAAATAATAAATTCACATTTTATCATAACTGAACAGTGATAGAGGTGGTGCTGAAATGGTTTACTTATGTAAAAGTTGCAATAAGTAAAAAATATTCTGTTACAAGTATAAGTCCTGCATTCAAAATGTTACTTAGATTAAAGTACAAAAGATATTAGCATCAAAATATACTCTAAGTACCAAAAGAAAATGAGACATTATGCAAAATGGCACATTTCACATTATATTACTGAATTATAATTACTGATAGTGATGCACCGAAATGAGAATTCTGGGCCGAAACCGAAACCGAAAATTTAGGATGCACTTGGCCGAAAACCAAAACAAAACCGAAAATGGCTTCTTTTAAAAATTTTTAAAACACGCTTACCCTATAATTGTGTATGTGTGTA